CAACTACAATCCCATTCAATCTCAGTCACCACATCCATACACTATATTTACAGTTCATGTTGCTCCATTCATACAAGAGAATTTAATGTGTACAGGTTTGTTTGGTTAAAAGTCATTGTTTGGTCAGGGATATAAACATCTCATAATTTGTACATGATATGATTTCATGTGTGAGGGATGATGACTGACCAAAAGAGGTTCTGAATCTTAGAACACTGCAGTCTCCTTTGGAACGCCAGGGAAAAGTATGGATAAAGTCTTTTGAATTAACTACATATACTCAGATGTTGTAAATAATGACGTGAGACAAAAATGTACTGTAAATCCCCAAATATCCATGCTACTTTTATTACTGCAACTACTTACTGTTACAGCAAGTACCACAACTATGACCAAGTGCCTACATAAGTTTTCTGGTGCAGTCAGCCACCTGCACGTCTCCATGGAGATTTACCGCATGTGTATTCAATTTCAGGTGTTTCATTGCTCTATAACACTTTTTGGCTACCCAGATCAAATTCTAATACAATGTTCAGGAAATAAAACATCCCTCCATTTCTGAATATGTAATTAAAGGTGCACTATGTAACTTTTTGGTTTGGGATCCTTCACCTGCTTGTTTCTATGAATATGTAACTGGTTTGCCTGGAATGTTCCATAGTATGACATTACACTGCTCTGCTTTATATTTATTCAATTATACAGGTGCTTTTATAGCTCAAAAATGGATATTCTGACTGTGAGCGAGGTTGCCTCTCCACAGATCTGACCTGTAACTTGGCCTGGGTGGTCTCCGTAATAACAGAAAGGTTTAATGCTATACTGTGAAACATTCTAGATAAAGCAATAACATCTCCATGGAGAAAAGCACTTGACGGACCCTCCACCAGAAAAGTTACACAATGCGCCTTGATGTATTTGTGACTCCTTTAAATTAAACTGAAATTTAAAAAAAAATATCCTGATTATGAGTAACGCACACTAACAGTACATGTATAGATGCTGTACCCACCTGATGTGAGAAGGCCTGCTTACTTAGCTCTCCACACTTTTGGACAGCCTCACATCTTCACCTCTGAGGTCAGCTGGTGTCTGTCTTATTACAAGGCACCGCTCTGCTCTGCTCACCAGGCCCCCTCCTGCTACAAACACACTTCGTCAGTACAATAGTGTTCTGATGCATGGAGGCTCTGACAGTGCCGCTGATTGCTTGTGTGATCTTTGGTTTTATGGTTTGACCCTGAGTTCTCAACTCCTCAGGCTTAGCGCTTGAAGGATGGTTAACAGCAACAGGCCAACAGCTCTATAAGGCAAGACAGGAGCTAAGCTAGCAAAGTCAAAGGTGAAACTGGATATTTTTAAATACTATACAATTTTAAAAGTAGAGTGTGGTAGTCATATATTGGTACATGCTGCAAATTCTAAGTTTAGAGTCATAACTATATAGAGATCGACCAATATGCATATTTTCATGGCTGATGGTGATACTGATTGTTTAGAATCTAGAGGAACTGATGACCTCCGATTTTTTTGGGCCGATTTGTAGAAACAATTTAGGTAATTTTTCCCCAAATTATCACATAAAAATTTTGTACAAACTCATCCACAATCTTCTTTTACTACAAACTGTGCTTTTGTAGAACCCTCTTTGGACTAAAGTGTTCAAACAAAGCTTTATGCATATATTTGAATGCATATTTAGACTGCTTGGCTGGTTGGGCCAAACAAAATATCACAATATATGTACAGTTGATAGCCATTATGCTAAAAAGGGTCTGTCTCTAGTCATAACAATAATTAATTTGTCCTGTATATGCCTCAGGGAGATTTGTAGCAAGGGTACTAGCAGTAGTTGTTGAAGTAGCAGTGGTAGAATAAATAGAAAATACTAATTCTATTTGACTAACTTTACTGTACTGAACTGTATTCTACTGTATTTTAATGTGAATCATTTTATAGGTGTAATACGTAAGTTTTCTGGCGATCACCACTGGCATGACACCATAGAGAAGTTATTGTTTTGCTTAGAATTTTCCACAACACACGTATCATATTCAAATGCATTCAAATACAAGTGTACCTTGGAAACCTTGAATTTGCACCATTTCCGCAGATCTAACTGTAACTTGGCCTGCTACTGTCACCTGTTTGTCTCAATACCCTACATAAGTTTAATGACATACTGTGGAACATTGTAGGCAAAAAAATAACATCTCCATGGAGTCAAGCAGGTAGCACATCCTCCACCAGAAAAAATACATAATGTACCTTTAAATAGCCTTTTTATCACCATTAGAGATAAAGTACTATCAGTTCTAGAAAATTCACCCAAAGTAACCTCAAGCCACCCACTCACAGCAATGCAAATCTACGATCTCAGATGTGTGTTTCCGTCTATTACACATTTGGTCTTGGCCTTCACTTGATTATTTCCATTAGAATGCAAGCTCTGATTAGACAGCACATGGTTTAGGATGCAGAGCAGGGCCTATTCTATTCATTTATTGCATTCTCTCCCTGTGGGCCAATCATTTGTATGCAGCAGAGAACCAGCCCAGTCCGATGCACAAGGCTTTACATCCATGACCTGAATACCCCCCTAAACACCTGGGAATCGCTTTTACATGGCCTCTGATTGGTTGAGATAATTATACACGACTTCTCTAAAATGGAGGATCCTGTGGGGGATTTGACATAGGGCTACTGGTGCGAGTCTTAATCCACTGTTGGGTTTAATGCTCTTGTTTTATGTCCTTAAAGTCAGCAATAGTCTTTATACACAGACGTATGCGGTTAAATATTGTGCTTCAGGGATAACCATGGCGATTCATCTAATTCCATCTTATCCTCACCCCAAGCGACTTCACAACCTTTTGGATTTTTTCTTCAAAAATCTTCACACTCCTATGAGTAGAGCTTTAATTTCAGGATCTGTAATGTATTCACCACCAGCTGTGACAGAGAATGAGTGGTGACTCACCCTCATCCATTTTCTGGACCAAGACATATACTTGCTCACGTCACTTTGACCACTTTTGGTCTGTTAGACTACTATACACACCTGTTATGATAATTACTATATCGATTTACTGTTACATATATGAAAGCTACTTTGGGGTTCAAAATGTATTGTGTGTATAGTTTATTTGTCTGTGGGGTGTTTTACTGATTTAAGCTGTAGAGAATTTAAAAATAACTTCTGTATCTAATTATTGCTTCATTCTGCTATTTATTATTTGCACCTCTTGCTGCTTAATGATACTGTTTATCTTGCATTATTGTTATTGTGTCAGTGGCATAAAGTCTTTTCAATATTATTGCTTACTGCAGTACATCTCTGTAGCAATATATTGTGCTTAAAAATGTGTTATTTTGTTATATAGACCTACTACTATATGGTGTGCAATTGAAATCCACTAAAATTAGAGGAAAAAAACACCCCCTGTAGCCCTACATGAACCTGATAGTCCATGAATAAGTCCACTGTGCGACTGCAGAAGACAGTATTACAAATAGCTGACTCTTTAAAATTTCACAAAAAAGTAAAAACTGAAATGTGTTTGTTTTATTTTAAAAAGTCAATTTTCACCTCTACTGTCATGTAGACACTCTGCTCACAGATGACTAATGCAATAGTTTGGTGTATGAGTAGAAATCACAGTGGTTGCCTCAGACCGACCTCACTGTGACACTTTCAGCACACACACACGATGACAGCAGTGGCAGCAGTATTAATCTCCATGGAAACAAGCTGATGACGTCACCAGGCCAAGTTACAGGTCAGATCTGTGGAGAGGCGGTCCCACTCAAAGTAACAATGCATGGTTGTCTTTACGGGCCTATACTGCACTATTTCTGATCTATGTTATAATGTTGTTTCCTCATCATAAACTTACCTGGAGTTGTGTTTTGTTTCATTCACAAGTTTAACACAAAAATCCTGCATATTTAGGCTGAGTTTGTCTCTCAATTGGAAACACTATTCCACCTCGTGATATCATGTGACAATGCAGGAGGTGCTCAATTGTGTTTTTAAATTCCACACACCTTCAGTAGAATCATTTGGATGATTTCAGCCCTGGAATTGCTGATATCTACTGAACTAAGGGTAAGAGGTATAGTTATTAACATGAAAACTATCACTTCCTGACATCACAAGGGGGAACAGTGCATTTTGAGCTTTGGAGATGTAGACAGACTAATGATGCAGGATAAGTCAAAAACAAAACACAACTCCAGCTATGTTTTTGAGGAGGTTACAGCATTATAAAATGGCTAAGAGGTAAGAATTGATTTAGTGTAACATAGGATCTTTAAGCAATAAAGCACATGTAATAGAACAAATGCAAGAGATTAATGCCATACTGTGTAACATTCCAGACAAAGAAATAACATATCCATGAAAACAAGCAGCTTCACCAGAAAAGTTGATGCACATGACACATGCCAAGGTAACAGTGGACTCCTGCATTATTTGGACATTTATTTGTTTTGAATTGCACATATCAGTATTTTCAGATGCAGTTTACCTGTAGACATAACTTTGAGTTTATGATTTAGGTTTAACACATAATAAGCATATCTCCATGAAATAGACAAGCAGCTGATGCCACTAGGGTAAATGACAGGTCAGATCTGAGAAAAGGTGATCCAACAGGTAGAAGACACTCCACAAACCCTTTAAATTTGTAAAAGAAAAGGGGATTATGGCAACTTTAATTTAGTTAAAACTTGCAGAGAACCAGTCTGGATAAACATGCGAGAGAGTAGACAGTACAGTTGTGTACCCATGTTGTCCTTGTGCCCTGCGGTACTCTGTGTGTGTGTTGTTGATGGGAAAAAAAAATGTCTACTGTTTAAGTCATTATATAAATCCTACATAAAATCTAAACGTGTTAGTGGGCTGTTTCCTGATGAGAAACGCGACACGCCCAGGAGCTAGTATCAGTAATACAGTATATGCGTGTGTTCAAAGGTCGACACAATCACCATGCTCTGGCTAATACCTCATTTTCAGCTTGACTTCCTCCTTGTTATGCTTCTGTGTCTATTCTTCTTGCTGGGTTGCTTCCTTTTGGTAAACCTTTAAAGGGGAAGTGGTGAATTCACATGGAGCGCCGCGCGCGGTGCTTTGAGCGCGTCCGAAGGCTGCGACAAATATGAAGCCGAGCCTGTCCCCGAGCCTCTGGCCCCTACTGACGCTCATCACAGGTGAGAAGCGGCTAGTACTCTCTTACATTTACTTGGGTAACTTTTACATAAAATTGTGCTTCTCAGAACAGTTTTCAGTTACTACATTTTAGCTGAGAGAAATAGGCTATTTTAATGCGCAGTAGTCTACATTTTGGTTAGGCCGCCTACTTTTTCCACTGCCGTGATGTGATTCAGAAATAGCCATAAATGTTGAAACTGATCACAAAAGTCACTTGTAACATTATTTATTTTAGTTGATGTCATCTGACACACGCACACACACACAGATTTATTGACAATATAAAATTTAAACATTTTTGTTGTCTCATAATTTAGTTTTGGTAATTGTATTTTTAGCCTTTACCCTTTACTCTCAGACCACTGCTTTGGACTTTTACCTGAGAAGGGTATTGTTCTTTAATGTAAAGCTAGGTCATCACTGTCGAAGTGCCAGTTTAAATCATGAAGAGATTTGTACAATAAAATGTGTATGTTTTGTACATGATTTGTTTAGCATAATCATAATTCAGTATCTCTCAAATGTTGATATGCTTGGGCATATTTGAAAAGTGCATTGAGAAGGAACTGCAGTCCAATTGCAGTATTTGTTGGAAACCTTGAGAAATTTCTCAAACTCTTCACTAATTTGGCCAACATAAATTAATGTAAAATGGACTCCCAACAATTAAAAGAAATAAGGATAATATAAAATATATTCTAACGGTTCTGCCTCCTTTTTTCAGTTTTGAAGGCTGAAATCCGTACGTTGCCCAAGGTGTGGGGATATGTGGGGCAAGAAGTCATCTTGCCCTGTGAGTTAATCGGTCAAAATAAGGAAAATGTTACTCTTGTCCAGTGGGAACTACCGCAATCTGGAGATAACAGCAACAAAATCGTGCATAATGTAGAGCATCAGCAGACAAATATACCTGATCCATACAAGGACAGAACTGACCTGAAAGACTATTCCCTGGTCATCAAAAACCTGGAGGCTGGAGATGCAGGAGAATACATCTGTTCTATGACAACATTTCCTGGTGGTTCCCATCCTGGGAGTAGAACCACACTAGTCGTAAATAGTGAGTATTACAGTATTATTACATAAGCCTGGTGTTAACAGTGCATTCATAATATATACATCTAAATATACATCACATAGGCTACATAAATAATTTTATATTATACTTGTAAAATTACCCATTGAAGGTAAAAGAAGAAAGATTTGATGGAGAAATTGTAAGAGAAGATCTAAACAATTATGAAGTTACTGTTTATTTAATTACACCACATCATTTGTGTTGTGTGTTTTTATGAATGCTTATGTAGTTGTTTGTTTGTTGCTTGTTTTCCCAGAGCAGATGCCGTTGTCAGCGGGGGTGGTCTCTTCTATAGTGATCAGCGTCATACTGCTGTTAGGGATCATTGCTGCCACAGTGTACTTCACTGTCATCAGACGGTCAGTGTGCAGTGTTCATGATGGTGGACTCAGTCACTCATAAAGCAGATCGATCGATCGATTGATCTATGTATCTATCATTCTATCTATCTATTATTCTATCTATCTATCTATTTAGTCGATTAATCGATAATTGATCATTAAGAATTTCGTCAATTACGTTAATTTTTATTCGACAAACCGAATGTAGTCCTGGCCGTCCGGGTTTTTTATAAAGTGATGCAAATGTCCGGGTTTCATTACCTTTCACTGGGCCATTAAATTGAGCGTCTCTTGTAGCTCTCTGTACACTCCCCGAATTCACACCAGGAGCTGCAGCAGCGCTTAACGTAGGCGGAGCTGCGCGTATGTAAGTTTCAATTCACACCAGAGCGTCAGAGACGCTCCTGCTATGCAGCCTGCACATCTTCTCACTGTTTTCAGACATCACATTTTGTACTTGCTTTTTATCATTTATTTTATGTTAAAGTGTATTAAGTTAGAATGTGTATTAAGTGTATTATGAATTAAGTGTACAACTGCAACGTATTTGCGTTTAATGAGGTTTAAATCTATTAGCACGCACATTAAACACCTCAGTTTTTTTTTTCTTAATAAGGTAAAATCACCTATAATTAACATACATTATGAGTGTGATTAAAATCATATGTCCGTCAAGGTAATAAGGCCGATACGCTTATATGTTGATACAGAGTCCTGCACCGATGGATAAGGGAAAATAGTCGCTGAAACGGGAATTTTAACGTTCTGGAATTTTAAGGGCGGGTCAGGACTAATTCAGGTCAAAACCAGGTCTAAACCAGGTCTAAACCATTACTAAACCCGGACTAAATCAGGTCTAAACCAGGTCTAATCTTGGAGAGAGAGAGAGAGATAGCGAACCCTGAGCCCCGCGGAGCAGGTGTCCGAAAAGCGCGATGGCTGCACATACCTCTTCTCCAAGCTCTGCACCGGTCCTTTCGCCCGCGGACACTCGGGGCTACACGGAAGGACCTCCGAGCACATTTCGACAGTGAGTCCTGGTTCTGGTTTAGTCCTGGTTTAGTCCTGGTTTAGTCCTGAGTCCTTGTAGAATTGGTGTCTGACATCGTAAATCACGTGCGCGTTGTTTACATCGCTGTCTTGACTTTGGTTAAATTATTTTGAAATTGTATCGGAAGTTTATTTTGACACCGCGTGTTTATTTCCTGTCTTTCCCCTGATAAAAACCTTGGAGACGCGCCGTTGACGCTGCAACATTAGAACTCCAACCTATCTCGAGCAGCGCGTCAGCGTCAGACGCTCGTTGGACGCGCGTATGACACTGTCGGTGTACACGGTCCGACCGGTTAAAATGGAGTTCTAAAGCAGCGCGTCTGCTGCTCGTGTGCTGTGCTGCTGCGCTTACGCGCCGTTGCGCTTTGGTGTGAATTGGGGATTAGAAGGAGTCGTGTCCACTGACTCGTGTTCTTTAGTCCGGCAGAAGTTGACCGCATCAGCGGCGCTGATTCAGCGCACAAGAGCTGTTTTTTTCTTCGCTTAGTTTATGCAAGTTTGTCATGCGGTTTTAAGTTTCGTTTCTGTGAGAGTTGCGCAAAGCTGCATAACACTGATAATGTCATGGGCTGATGTGGCTCTATAGTGTGTCGTAAAATTGAGTTTATTTATGCAGATTAGTAGTGCAGGTAGTAATATATATATATATATATATATATATATATATATATATATATATATATATATATATATATATATATATATATATATATATATACACATACATATACATACATATACATATATATATACATTAGGGGTGTCAAATTATCACGTTAATTGCGATGAATTAATTACAGTCATATTTTTAATCTCATTTTTAATCTCTAACTTTACTGTTTCTGTATGTGAGTTGTTTTATTATAAAACCTGTTTTTACACAAAAACACATTTATACACTTTTTTATTTCGGTAATTCCACTCATTGCCGGAAACCCACACAAAACGTGCGCAGTAAGAGTGATGTAAACGTCATGTTCACGTTCGCGGCATCAGTCGCACAATGGACGAGGTCGAAGAGCCAGTAGAACAGAGGCAGCAGTGCACAGGTAAAAAACACATTCGTGTCTTGGAAATTATTCTCCCGACGTGAAATATAAAAGAAAATAACAAATATAAAATCACCTACAACTTAAATGTCACTGGTGAAAACAACCTGCATAGGCTCATGATGTCTGCACTACTGTCCTATAGTGACCTGCCACATGAGGGGACACGCACACAAACACACACAAATACACACAAACACACACAAACACACACAAACACCTTCATCATCGTCATTAACCTGAGAACGCGCGGATCACGTTTCCTTCCGTAGACACTGCGCCGCGTGTGGATCGCGTTTTCTCGCGTACGCTGCGTAAACCGCGCTTCCTCCTGTGCGCCTCTAAACCAGAACTAACACCAAGACTAAAACCAGGACTAATCCAGTCCAGGACTAAACCAGGACTAAACCAGGTCTAAACCAGGACTAAACCAGAACTAAAACCAGAACTAAAACCAGGTCTAAACCAGGTCTAAACCAGGACTAAAACCAGAACTAACACCAGGACTAAAACCAGGACTAATCCAGTCCAGGACTAAACCAGGACTAAACCAGGTCTAAACCAGGTCTAAACCAGGACTAAACCAGAACTAACACCAGGACTAAAACCAGGATTAACCCATTCCAGGACTAAACTAGGACTAAAGTAGGACTAAAGCAGGTCTAAACCAGGACTAAAACCAGGACTAAAACAAGGACTAAAACCAGTGATCTCATATATAAAGCATTTCTCTATCAATAATATTTTTAATATGGTTAAGGAAAGACTGGACTTTTTATTGTCTTTAAGGAGACAAAAGTTATTATGTTCAGATTTCCTCGTCTTTGCTACTTTACAGCAAACAGTTTCTTATTCATGGAGACTTGGGCTCAACAGCCAATTTGGAGAGATTTGTTAAACAATAAATGACTTTATAAAGTCACTTTTTTTAATCTATATCAGTCTTTTGATCTGCCACAATAATGTAATAATGAATTTAAATGAAAATACCTCAAATTGAAGGCTTTTCTCAGCAATTTTTAGGTGAGATTAAAATGAGATTAATTAGATTAATTAATTACAGATCATAATTAATTAATCTTTCAATTTTTTTAATCGCATGACAGCACTATATATATATATATATATATATATATATATATATATATATATATATATGTGTGTGTGTGTGTGTATATGTATATATATATATATATATACATATATTTATTTATTTAAAACAATTACTATTCAATTGAAAAAAATCTACTATTTGATATTTTGTAGCGGCAGTTAAAGTATAGGAACCTTAGCTTAGCTAAAATATACAATTTGTACAGTCCATTTGCTTAAAATCACTAAACTGATCATTTTGAGAGAATGCACTTTTAAATTAAATGTACCACTTTTTCTTTTATACACAGACGTGCACCTTCTTCAAGGAACCACATCTTCATCGGTGAATACGTTTACTTCCTTCTTTACTGTTATAAATGTTATAATCGCACTTTTACTTCTTCAGTTCATGAATGTAATTTCTATCTTTAGATACTCAGAATGCTGTCTGGGATCCATCCAAACCATCTCTTATAAAAAGAGAAGAGGTAAGATACCTCATTGTTTGGACCAGAATCTCTTCTGTCTCTCTCACTCTCTTATATTTGTACTGCAGGTGGTCTATGCTGCTGTGAAGCTGCAGTCCCCCAATCACAGCCGAGTAAAATCTTCAGATGATTATGTGACATATTCAGAGGTCAACATGGTCAGAGCAAGACGAGATGAGGAATTGTACGAACAAGTCATGGAAATCTAGTAAGGAAAAAAAATTGCGTGAATGAAACTCACTTAATCAAACAAATACACACATACTACATATTTCTGTTCTCTTAAAAAGAAAACACAGGATGTGTTATTGTTTTTAAACTCCATACACATTCAGTAGAATCATTTGGATCATTTCAGCCCTGGAATTACCCATCTCTAAACAAAAGGTAAAATATAGCTGTTAATTTGAAAACTGTCACTTCATGATAAGGTAGAACAGATCACTTTGAGTTTTGGCGATGTAGACAGACTAATAATAAAGAATTACTCAAACATGTGTGAATGAAACAAAACACAACTCTAGGTATGTTTTTGAAGAGGTAACAACATTATAACATGGTTTACAGCTCACAAGAGTCAAACTAATGCAGTCCACCATCATATTGCCTTGTATTTCAGTCTCTGTAATGGCAAATCATACACCACTCAATGACTCATTCATTTTTGTTCCAGTCTGTAATTGAAATGTTCCAGCTTCAGCCAACAATGGCTCCTTTATGTATACTTTATGTATATTTATGTGATGCTGAATTAGTTTGGAAGCTTTTAAAATTTATTTTCTGAAAGACTAGCCTACATGACACAATATAAAAAACAATGCAGTTTGATTGGTGGCAATGGGAAGAATACTTATACAGAATACTGAATACCTGCATTAAAATGCATTTTGTAACAAATCAGAATACTATATTTTAAATACTTACAAAAGTTCTACATGAAGTTGCATCGCAATGTAATATTAACAGTGTTATATTTGTTTGGCTGTATTTTCTTTTATATTTGTTAAGCTGTGTTGTTTAGTCTGCATTTTAGAGAAGTAACAACTTTTGAATGTCAGCAAATGAAAGAGTAGCTGTACCAGAATACAGTTGCTTAAAACTGAATGTCTGCAGACAGTTTGTGGTTGTTGGTTGCGCTTGTTTTTTCCACTTCTAAAATCTGTTAATCACACTCATCTGCATGTGTCTGGTTTTGTGTTGGTGTTGTATTGAAGTGTATCACCTCTGAAGTGCTGTTTTGTACAGTTTGATCAGGTTGATATAAAGTTTGTGTTACTTTCTGTTTTGTACAGTTAAAATATATAATGTCGCCTGCTGTGCTGGGCCCATTTGGTAAAAGCCAGTTGAAGACCTTTTTTGAGAATGTGAGATGGTTAATGGGATGAGATTAAAAACTCACTAAAAAGGTCTGGCGTACGTTTTGTTTATAAATATATGTGTGCATATTGTATTTCTTTGTAAAGGGCCTATTTTACATTATTTTCTGATCTATGTTATTATATTGTTTCCTTGTCAAAAACATACCTGGATGTGGTGGTGTTTTGTTTCATTCACACATTCTCTCACTCTGTTCCACCTTGTGATGTCATGTGGTAATACAGGAATTGCTCCACTGTGTTTTTAAACTCCATACATCTTCACTAGAATCTTTTGGGTGAATTCAGCCCTGGAATTGCCCATCTACTGAACTAAAGGTAAAAGCAGCTGTTAACATGAAAACTACCACTACATTACATTTTGAGCTTTAGAGATGTTGACAGACTAATAAAGGATTACTTAAACATGTGTGAATGACATAAAAAACAACTCCACTCCCCTCTTTAAGCAGGTGAACATCTTAATCAATGTAAATATTTTCACAGATACTGTCACAACAGGCAATTTGTTTTTGAAATCAGTGTTTGAATGTCTGCAAAACACATGATTTATTTTGTATCAATGTGTATGCCTTTATATGTTTATAAAAACATTGACGTATTAAATGCAAAAAAAAAAAAACTTTTCTATCTTCATGGAGACCAAACCAAACCAACTTACAAGTTATATCTATGGAGAGGCAATCCTGCTTACAGAATGCCTGTTTTTCTAGATATTTTTGATTTACTATAAAACCACTTCTAATTAAATGTATGTAAGGTAGAACTGTTTAATATCATACTGTGGAACATTGCAGGAAGAGCAATGGCATATACGTAGAAACAAGCAGGAGACAGTATGTAACCAAAAAGTTACATACTGCATTTTTAACTTCTTGATGGTAAAAATAAAAACATCTTTATTTTAGGCTGTCTTCCCACATTGTTCTTCTAACATACAGAATATTTCACTGTGGCACTTTTATTATTCTTATTTATTTTGAAATGACCCTCCCTTGCTTTTCGTCTAAACAACTGCCACTGTTGATGCTGCCTGCTGCCGGCTGCCAGTACAGTTACACACAGCCTGAACCAGAGAAAACAGGAGGATGGAGAATCTGAAGATGTATAACAGGCGGTTGGGGCTACAAACATCCAGGGAATCACAAATGAAGATGTTGCTTAGAGTCTTGTCAGCATTCCACGCACAGAGACAGGAGTAAACAAAGAGCATGAAGAAGGCCCATCAAATCCAAGCCGGCCTCTGCTGACAGCAATCATTTAGGGAACAATGTAATGTGGGCAAACATACTTATCAGTCATTATCTGGGGCACGGTGGTGTGAACAAATCTCTTTCAGCAGGAGTAGGAAGACAGCATACAACGGAGCACAGTTCACCTACACAACAAAGGAGTCCTATGGGGAATTTTAATGTGAGTTGTACTGCATGTGAGTTCACTCCAAATGAATGTTAAATATGCACAAGAGATGAGATATTATTAAGAGACAGGAATTAAAAATGATGATTGGCAGCACCCAGAGAAGCGGTGATTTAAATTTCAAATCAGGTCTCACAGGATTTTCCAAATGGAATATGTTTATGTTGGTTTATTTGTCTGTGAGATACTGTGATAGTGTTGGGATTTGAGTAATGGTTTTCTATGTCTATGAAATTTTGAAAAAAATGGCTTAGTAAATGGAGAAAATATTTGTTGTAGTGTGTATGTTAAGATACAAAGGCTTTGGTTGTAGTAAGGGCATTTTTTGACCATTTTTTTGTCCTTTTGTTTGTCACAATTATAAAGTGCTTGTGTTATTATGGGCTAAGTACTCTGAATTATATCTGAAGAGTATTGAGAGAAGTATAAAGAATTATCAGGCCATGTACTCACCATTTAAATCTATTTCCACTTGCTAATTCATGGTTTCCTTTTGCAGCATGAAGAGATTATTTTTGTGACTCATCTTCGAAAAAAAACAACACATACACACACAAAAATCCCTGGATTTATAGTGGTTCTCAATCATCCATGCCACATCCAATACAGTGGCCAGTTAGAGATATCTGAACAAATGTGAACACTAGACATGTTGGTAAAAGTTAGAAAAGAAAGATAAGAAAAGTTTAAAATGAATTCTTCCATATATGCGAATAAAGAAGATTCCTTGTGTGGTGTATTTGTGTTTTGGAAGAGCACAGAATAATCCCTGTTAATGGGCAGTGACGCAGTGTGTGGTGGTGAATGATTTGAGACCTGTTTAAATATTGATAAATTAGAGTCAAACAAATAGCACAGCTGCAGCTGAAATCTATGCAAATAATACTGAGGGCAGTGGTTCACACTTTTTCATACAAACGATAGCTTGTTTTAGTGTTGTCTTATTGTACATAATATTTTAACAATAGCAATAAGTTGATTACATTCATGGGGGTAAACATGTGGAATAATTGGTTAAATGTACTCTTCAAATATTTATCCCTGAACTGAGATCTTCATTTTGAGTCAGTTTTTGGTCACTGGATCAAGGGCTCTTCATTTCAAAAGATATGGCTTCTACAGTGGCAGGTGCTCTTCGGACTGATTTATTGTAAATTGGTGCGCAATATAGGGTTGGGAAAATTGTAACTCTCCTCTAGAAAACTCAGTATCACTTAAGTGTGTTCTTTTACTTTACCTCTGACTGACCTTGTGCTACTTTTCCTCCTGTCATCAACATTGTGCACTGAGGCATTAGCAGCCATGTGGAACGTGTACAATCCAAAGCATAAAAGCCAGCACTGTATTCCTTTAGGCTCTGGGGCTAATACAGTACTATACAGTATCAGGGCAGGAATGGAGTTTAACAAAACAGTGTGCTTTTACATTAGCAGCTCCATTAAAAGAGATCTAATTCCTTTAATAGCCTATGTTAAAACATGCATTTCTTTCAGTTCTCTTTATCAGCATGTTTTCTTGTACTCAATCCCCTTGTGAATGGGTTTGCAGCCACCAAAGGGAGTAATTAGGCGATCAAAAGCTTGAGACAGTATTGACGAGGGTGTGTTGAGTCTATCAGTCTGGCAGAAGTCGCCACTGTGGACAGCCAAGTCTGTCGGTTAAACAGTGAGCGAGGAAGTAGCCCGCTGGCGTATTTACAAGCCCCTCAAAAGATGCCCAGAATTAACAAATCAGGACAGATCGAATGGAAACCTTCTACTTTTGTCTCATTGGGATTCTCCAGTGTGCTCTCTGCTTCTTGGGTTCCCCTAGCCCACTTTTTACTTGCTTCCCCTATCTACTCTCCCTGTCTGTATCTCCTCTACGCTTAGTGAACAAAGGTGAAAAAGTACAGGCTTGGCAAGACTTATTCTGGATAACAAGGGACATTAATTTCACATTTCGAACTCTTGCTCTCCGGCACACACTCCTCTTTGTAGTTGTCTGGTTATCTCTGAATGTAGAAAGGCTAAATGGGCTTCTCACTATGAGGGCATTGAAAGACTTACTGAAGACATACATAGAACATAGTATCTTCTGCTACTATTTGTGAATCATTCATTCAGCTACTCCCAAAAACAGTAGGCACACACAGAAGAAGACACAACACTCAAATAAGTAAGTCAAATCTCTTAGTATTTTATAATCCACCATATTGTCACAAATAGGCTGTATTTAACTCTGGATTCCCACTTTGAACAATGGTAACAAAACAAGACAACCAAAAAATAAAACAACAGGAAATTATTCTCTGGAAGTCTTTATATGTTCTTTTAAATCACATACAGATACAGTATGTCCTTTGACACAGCTCCCTTTCACACCAGAGATTGTTCTCTTTCGGCAAAGTGTCTGTGTAAGACTCCAATCTGGAGGTGAGGAAAGTCAGGAAGCTTCTGTCTCTTCTCTTCTGTGCAGACTTGTTCACACCGAGCAGTTCTGTGTACGGGAGTTTCGTTTGTCAGTTAAATTTTTCTGTAAAAGTCCATTCAAGGACGCGCACTCCAAACATCAGCAGCTTTTGTCCAAAGTAACAAAACATTGGTCCATTAAGAAGTAGTTTTTGTACTGCTCTCAGTCCTGGTCCCCCATCAGGTCTGTGCTGTTACTGCTGTGGGGCGGACAGGGCCGGCTGCTGTGGGGTGGAGGGCTATGGTGAAGTCTCCTCGGACTGGGCCCTCCTCCACCCTCACTGTCTGTGTTAGAGGAGGACTGGGGTGGAGGTGGGGGCAAGCGAGGCAGGGGTGCAGAGGAGGGGGGTATTCGGCTGCTTGTGGAGCCTATACTGCCCCCTGCTCTCATGTTCTGGATTCTTCTGCACTCCTGGCAGATGCGCACGTGAGAGCACCCCCGCCCTGGCAGCATAACTGGGGTGGGCGCCGGAGGGGGAGGGGTAGAGTTGGCTCCTAGAGGGTCATCTAGGATACGCTGTGGTCCTGGGCCAACATCTGCAGGTCCTGTACATGCCCCTCCAGCGCCCCCGGTCAGTGGTCCTGCTCCACTGTAGAGCTTCCCGTTGCTCAGACGCATCTCTCGGACCAGGCGCAGAGGCCGTGGGGCACCCATGGCGACACGCGCAGGGTGACGCAGCGCTGCCGAACTGCTGAGGGGTCGACGACGACGCAGGCGGGAACTCTTCTTACATGAGACGGCGTTTCGGAACTCTGTGATCATTTCCTGACAGACAGACACCTGCAACAAGGAAAGGAAGGAGGGACGGAGGGACGAAGGAAAGGAAGTACAGAAAGGAGGGGAAAAGGAAGTAGGAAGGAAGGGTGCCACAGACACAAAGAAGAAAGCAGGCAGCAGAACAAGGCGGTAGTGAGGCAGGGCACAGAGATGAGGAGTGGGCAGAAGAGAAAGCAAATTGGAAAAAGAAGCCAAAAATAAAAACAACAAGGCAGGAGCATGTCAGAAAAACAGACCCAATGAAGCATGGGAAACCAAAGAGTCACAGGAGAAGGGCACAGAGGTCAACAAATGGAAGAGCAGTGATGGAGAGATGAGGGGAAGGATGAGATGATGGCAGAAGTGGGAGAGGATCCCAGGAGCAGAGAGGGTTATTACAATCTAAACACACAAAACACCAAAATGTTGTTTAGTTCATGGACACTTCTTGGTATGGCACTATGTGGTATGGACCGACAAGCAGGCTCAAACACAGAGTACACTCACACACACCATGGCAGCTAAACCTAAATATCTTCATCATTCCAACAACAGTGCCGCTAAAATTCAAAAACACAATGCATTTTCACATACTACATTCCCAGTGAAATAATAAGAAAGAATGTGCTCACACAAACAAAAACAATAGTCGCTGTCGGAGAACAGACACTGATGCCCAAATGGATGAGTGAAGGAGAGAGAAAGAGAGAAAGAGAGATAGATAGAGACATACACGCACAGTGAGATGGATGAGAAGGAATCCAAGAATGGAAACGAAGAATACCAGTGTACATGTGAGGCATGTAAAAGAAGATACATCATGACATTTAATGCAGAGGAAAAGATCACACTACTCTTAATGCAAGCAAATATTGGCTTTCCTCAATATTGCTTATCCATACACACGTCAGTTTAACATTACACTTACTGGTATAAGACGAGACAGTTACAGAGCACAATGGCTACGGACCAACACATGCATAGATAAATCTCATTTTCTAACTAATTTGTGACATTTTTGTGTCAGATCTCACCATTCCTGTCACTTCACATGCACAATACATAAAATAAACAAAACACACAAAGTGGAGGTTTATATTGATGACACAGACAGACAGGCAGACACACAAGCAGAGTCAAAACGGCTGGCGGGATGCCATGGGAACCTACTGGGGAGTGTCTGGGGGGGCGGCGAGGGCAGGTATGGGGGCATACCTCATCAGTCTCTGCCGAACGCCGCGTCGACCACACAAACTCCATAATGGCCACGAACACAGCAATGATGAGGCCACAGATCAGGACCACAAAGATGCCTCCAATGTTCTCCATGCCCAGACCTGAACAGAGCATAGACTGTATATGTAATGGACAAAGCTAACCTGCTAGCCACCGTGTTCCACATAGGTAGTGAGCATGGGGATGCTTTGCTTCAGGCTCCAACTGACTGATTTAAAACATAAAAACACCTGCTCTACATGATCTTGGTGTTTTTATTTCACTATTTTGTCCATATACAAATTCCTATTGCTAATATGGAGCTCAGCTTCAAACTCACAACTTCTAGCTTTGACAAGCTTCATTTGACTGAAGCTAAATGCTATGGATGATGTCACACTCACTTAGTCCACTTCTTTAAACAGTCTATGGCACAGAGCCATCAAAGACAGACAGTGAAAAAAAAAACGGTTATATCGACCATGCAGACATAAGGAATAAGATGGACCATGTAGAAAATATGGTAATACCCCTAGAGAGTCTGGATATGTTCTTATAAGTTTGATCTATAATTCATACTTTAGGGTTCAAAGAAGAAGAATTAAGGATAAAGTCCCCACAGGTATGAAACTGCTGTAGAACATGGAGCCAAATTCAGTTCTGTAGCTAAAAACTAAGAGGAAATGCTATGGCCATTGTGTATGCAGCTCATGACACCAGCCAAGTATGGAAGACAGATTTAACTTTGAACAGTCTGTGCCTCTCTCTTTAAAAATGCAATTTAAGAAAAGCAAGTGGAAGTCAAGGTTCCTTAATTACCATAATGAAAATGCAATCCAATTAATAAGTAGAAGTATATGCAACTTCAAAGGGCAACGCATGAAATACATCTAAAGCTAGCCAAATGAATATCTTTATAACAATCAAATTAAGGTAAATGGTCACATTTACGCTTTGCCACAGTTGGGGCCTTTAGCCAATCAGCTCTCATCCCGTAGTGTCATACAGCGACTCACATGGCTCAAGTTTGTGATAAATAAAACGTTTTAGATGCAGACAGTGTCTACCCATGTGATTTCATCACAAAGTTCTGTTTTTTCCAATACACTTACTGGGAGGAAAAATTTATTTTGCTAATTTAAAAAAAGGGTATTTCAGCTTTGCTGCAAGTCACTGTAATGTCCTAAAAAGCATGGAAACTGTGTGTATAGGACAGCTGAGTCTAAATGTTTTTGGTATATATTTTAGACATTGTAGCTTTTCTGAACAAAATATATTCCGCTTTTGGTGACAATTCACAAAAGTTTTTTTTTTTCCCCCCAAATTCAAATGCACAAAGCAAGCGAGTGAACACATATTCCTCTGCCTTGGCAAAAACCTTGGCATACTGCACTCTGATGTTAAGGGTGTTACCAAAACCATTTTTAAAAGAGATTTCCATCTGACAGTCAAAACAAAAGAAGCACTGTCATTCTGTCCTCTCCGGAACAATTCCAATCACAGAACATAAACAAACAATGAAAAGTATTTTGTGCTTAGCGTCCTTCTGACAAGGGCACCAAGCTGCACGTTGGCCATTAGCTCGTCTGGAGAAGGGGGCGCTTGACAATTCCTGTGGACATTAGCAAGACAGTGGCAGATAGACGGCTGCAGTCCACTGACCCTTGGCGCGATGGTCCTCCTCTTTGGGACATTGGCCTCCTTCCCACCATCGCCTCTTCAAGATCTCCAGACGGTTATTCTCCTGCAGCTGGAGGATGGCCAACGTGATCTCATCCCGGAAAGGAGAGCCTGAAAGAGAGAGACGGGAAAGAGATGGAGAAGGTGAAGTTAGGAGTGCCAAGCTGGAGGCACTTTATTTATTTTAAAACTGGAGCTAAGAACAGGATCACAAAAGCAGCCTGGGTGAAGCTACAAGTAGTCTTCTATTGTAAACATAAAACAGGGATTACTCAGATGAAGGGTGCGATTACGGCGATGTCATATCATGTCTACAAAGTGACACAAACACTATCAGAGTTGGTCATCAACATCAAATGAATTGTGTCAAAAAGACTATTTAATTATGAATCATATTTGCATAATCCACAGAGGGATTAGTAGTTAGGCTTGTAGGAATTAAGCAACATTAAGTCTGACATCACAAAAGCCTGTCTTTGGCTGGCTGGGGATGTTGTAAATCCAGGATAACTAGACTGATAAACAAATTAGACAGAGCGTTGTAGTCAAATATTTTTCCCTTAACAAACATGCTTTTGTGCCTATGAAGTTATCCACATTATAATTACAAGTAGATCCAAGGCTGAATCGGTTGAATAAAAATAAGACAATGGCAGAAAACAATTCATTACTACAGTTAATATAGCTGCAAGCAATGTACAAGCATTCAGTTAAGTATAGGAAAAGAATTCTTCCCACTTGTGTTTAGCATTAATGTTTCTGATTTGCGATTTTCTTGATTAAGAGTACTAACTTCCTTCATATGTTATTTAGTTCTCTGCATTTGACCCATTCTAGGGTGACCTGTCAGGAGCAGTCCACAAATTCACAGTGCTGCAGATTGTGTGCATTGCCTTTGTTAAAAGATGTACCTAGTGTGTGTCTCTCAGTTAATCAGAAAAAAAAAAAATAGTTGTGACTGGAATAAATCCACACAGAAAGATGGAGAACATGTAAACTCTGCACAGACTGTGGGATTACATAGACATCTGCACGGAAAGAACAAACGTCACTCGGGACTCAAAACCAGGACACTGATATATATACTGATTTGGCATATGTTGCACTTAAAGGTCCTATATTATGCTGTGAACTTTAATTCATGTTATAATGACAATCGTCACTATATTACCCAGTGAAGGCTACTTTTTGCCCAGATAAATAAAAAAAAAATTTAAAGGGCCCATTTTATGCTATTTTCTGATCTATGTTATAATATTGTTTCCTCATCACAAATATACCTGGAGTTGTGTTTCATGTTTGAGAGAAGAACTCCTAAATATGCAGGGATAGTGTGTTAAACATGCGTGAATGAAACAAAACACAACTCCAAGTATGTTTGTGATGAGAAAGCAACATTATAACATAGATCAGAAAATATCATATGTGCCCTTTAAATCCTTTTTATTTAGCTGGGCAAAAAGTAGCCTTCCCTGGGTAATATAGTGATGATTGTTGTGTCTACTCTGCCAGTACACATTACTGCTATTCCAAACTTCCATAGTCTACTGTAAGATTTATAAAGTTATTGCAAGCTAAGAAATGTCAAAATGAATCAGCCAGTCCAATTTGAATAATAATAGAAAACTGCAGCACTAGAGCATAATCATTACCTCTGCGCTGGATAATACAAATCCTTCAAAGCCACTTCAGATGTATTTGCAGATTTTTCATCACCTTTTTGTGCTTGTTTTGGGACTAATGGGACTGGCAGAGAGGAGCCCCCTTTAGAGTCATCTTTTGTTGCAGAATATTTCCATGATTCTTGCACTCAGCCTTCATCTTAAACCTCTGCGCTGGCATGGAGTGTCTGAAGTCTACCCACTTTTATCCTCCAAAGGTGAGTCGTAAAGCCAGAACAGTAGGAGATGACTACACAATCGAAAGTCAATCTGGCCTTTGTATTATAAGATTGACCCAAAAAAAAAAAAAAGTTTGTGGCGAAATGAACGTGTTTTTCATTAGCAGTGGGTTTAAAATGAGGATAAGTAAGTAACAGATGGATTTCATGCTGAGATTGTTACCCAGATTATTTAGTAATAGCAATGGTGTTATTGGTTGGATAAGCATTACATTTTCAGGCAAAGTCTGTAATAGGGCAACACATAATTTTATAGTGTTAAAATCATACACTGCATAAAGAAGTGGACTAAGGGAGTGTTACCCATAGCATTTGGCTCCAGTCAAATGAAGCTCACTGAAGCTTGCTGTTACAGGACCGAATTTGGAGCCAAGTTCCATATTAGGAATAGGAATTTACTAATGGACAAAATAGCAAAGTAAAAACACCAGGATCATGTCGTGCAGGTTAATAGGAACATTTTAAGCCCAAAATCACAAGGCTCATTCAAGCAGTTATAGAGACAAGGGTGACAATTCTTTAATGTAAAGACAATTGGAGTCAATGGAGTAGGAAGCACCCCCCACACTAACTTTGTATTTGGGATGCAGTGGTTAGTGGGTTAGCTATGCCATTTTATATATACAGTCTAAGATCTAAGCACTGAGTAATATCAAATTTACCATTGCAACTTAAGGTTATCGCTGTTTGTGTGTATCTGTTTTCAAAACATTTATGCACAGTATTTCTGAGTGTTTTAGACCAAAACAACACTTTACTTGCATCTACCTTTGTACACAATCAACTTCTCAACACTTATTCAGAGCATTTTCACAAGCTCCAGGTCCAGAGGTAAATAGAGCACAAGTGGAGAGCTCGTTCACTGTGACTAGATGACCACCTCCTCCGTGGCCTGCTACCCCAGAGGAGCCGCTATAAATCACCGGCCACTAAAACCAAGCCTTTTCAAAAATAGTCCTCTCCCCATTGCAACAACACACTCAGGGGGAATTGCAGTGTTTGGAACAGTACAGTCTATTCTCAAACGCCGCCACTGATTCCAACGTGAAGTGCACTTACGAAAGCAGTTGTACAACGCTTCTTTTATCTGACTTGTCTCTCTCCTTTCAGCCTCCTCCATATTTTTGTTTCCTTTGCTGAATTGGACAGGACTTTCTTTAAGGCAATTATTGTCATCACTTGAAGTTGAAACGTTTTAGATGAAAAAAACCCAAAAAAACACACACACAAGATAATTTGCTGGTCTTATTTGGCTACACTGTTTATTTTATCTATTTATCCTTATTGATCTAGTTTGGTGCAGGGCATTTCCAGCTGTCAATCAATGAAATTCTACATAGCCTATTATAGATTATAAATTAAGATACGCAGATAATCATTTACTCCTGATCCCAGTTTATTCAAGCAGTTTTACCACAGTGTTCCCCAAAGAGGTTAGTGGGGCTATAGGTGGCCCACTTTACTCCACTCAACTGTAAATAGACCCTAGACTAATGACTATGTCCTTGACTACTTCGGATAAGAGTCCACTTCCACTACACAACCTTGAGATTTAAGATTTGAGGAAAATCGCTCTAAAGCAGCTCTTACCTCTCTATATTATATATCGCAGGTGAAAGCTCTGTATTTAATCAACCCCCGTAAGTCTTTGTGACAGCCATAATCATAATAATAACAGATTTGTATCCCCCCTGACATAGTCTTAACTTTCTCCCAGAGCATTTTGAGTAACCTTTGAGTCATTTTCTCTTACCTCTGTGACTGCAAAGGGTGCAATTTTATGCCCCATCATTTAGATTAAGTGTCCTCTCAAGTGGCATTACTTTCAGTACTGTGAAGGCCACTGCACATTGTCATGTTAGATCAGGCAAAGAAGTCAGAGACAAGAAATCCATATATCTCTCTAAGCTTAAGCAACATCCAAAACAGTTGTTCTACGCTATCTTAGGCTATTGAACGCTACCTAACTGGGCTTTAGTGCGAGCTCCAGAAACATGCATAATTTAATACGTGCTTGTCTACTACAACATCTTGTTTGTTTAGCCTTAAACCACAAGCCCTTTAATAGACCCAGTGCAGCTGTAATGTTTGTGTCTCCCCTAGATAGAAGTGTCACTGCCATTGACTTTGATTCGGGGATCACTTGAATGGTGTAATTAACTGCTACGAGATTGTAAGTGCTTGTTAAGATATCAGATATCAGATATAGACTACTTTGCTCTGACAGAGATTACACCAGCCAAAGTTATTTTTTCACTTCAGTTTAGGATTTATAGCTCAGTTTGAACATCATTTTATAGCTCAGTTTTAACATAATAATAATAATAATAATAATACAGTTTTATATGGTGCTTTTCACTTAAAGATACTGCCCATAAGTAACACAAAAATAAGGACAGGACAGACAAAAAAGTAGTTAGGAAGTAGTCATGGGTGAGGGTTGTAGGCTGTGAGGAAAAGGTAAGTTTTGAGCAATTTTTTTGACGGTCTTTAGTGAGTCAAAGTTTCTGATGTGAAGGAAGAGAGAGATAGAGACAAAGACAGTTTTCTCCTATGCATTCAAAATTTTAGAAACTTTATTTTAGAGAATTATGTCATTTCTTTCGGTGTATGCTAATATTATCTAGACTATTTACAGCTACAATCCAGAGCTGAAGCTGTGTGTGTGTGCCTTATTTGAGCTCAGTCTCTTGCTATTTCTGCTACTTATTTAGAATTTATTATACCATTAATATTTTTCTCTTTGTTATTGTAATATATTGTGATGTGTGAGCTACTGTGCCCAAATAATTTCCCTTGTGGATCAATAACGTTTATCGATGTTTAAGAACACAAAGTTTGGCTGTGTATATTACCTAGAGGCATGCCAATCCCGTAACCCTTGGTATCCAGCAGGCCTCCGATCTGCGTTAGGTTACAGTTGAGACCACGGTGATACTCATTCATGGTGCTCTCCATCAGAAAGGCATATTTGGAGTTGAGTACACGTGCGATGCCCTCCTCTGTGCTTTTCACAAACACACTGGGTTGCTTGGAGTACATGTAGTTCCACATGCGCTGGTAGGTCTGGTACCGCGAGTTCTGGAAGGTTGAGAAAATAAAACAATCGATCTTAGAAAAAAGTTGAGCAGGTAGGAAAAGTCATTCTAAAAATAACTTAAGACAACAGTGTATCTCTTCTGCATGCATATGAAGGTCCAAAATACTCACTTTCACTCCCATTTACCTTTTTTAATACAAGATAAAGATAAAAAATATATGTTATGAGTGAGGTCCCTTTATCAATGTAATCACCAGGGCCTTCACTGGAATAGCACAAATAAATTCTACAGAAAACAAATAAATCAACAGGTTATTTTCTTATACTTTGGGGGCATCATATTTCTCACAGTTAGAGGAAGAATAAATACTAGAAGTGGGATGGTAGGTACTGAAATCAAACAACAAGATTAAGTGTTTAAGTGGAAAATTACATACTGCCTTTTAGTGTAAGGAAATGCAGAAAATAGACATGTTAGAGTAGTCTGGAAGAAGGAGTGTTTATAATGGATTAGACTAGAGTGGAGGTAATGTACTGTTGCATTTGGGGGCTTATGTAGGCAAACAGAGACCACGCGCTCTTATATCTTGGTTGTGGACACAAACAGCCAGAGAATGCATAAACAAACAGGCCCCCAGACTGGCACATCGCCATTCCCCGGGACCGCTCTCGAGTAAACACAACATATTTTTAATACACTCACCTCCACACACACACCCACACACACACCCACACACATGCCCACACTTAAACCAACACACGCACAAACACGAAGGCCTGGTGACAAACACAGATGTCGACACAGATGCCAGAAGCCCTCTCAGATGCAAACAAAGACAGTCAGCCACTTAAATCCAGTACCAACAGTCATAAAGAATATATGATACCTGCATTTCAGGCCTAAGGAAGCGTCAGAGAAACACATGCTTGCATAGATCAGGATGCTTCCATATGGTGGTTGAATGACTTGAGGTCTTATACAACTTTCTACTTCCATACATTGTCTGTAAATTCAATCCACCTTCTGTCTCTTTTGTATCCACACCCCAAAAATAAAAGCTTAGAGAGTTTGTTTACTAGCAGTTGAAGAACAAAGGGAAGTGTCTAACTTTGCTTGATATCCATATTACACCATTTTCTGCCCTATTATAACGTTGTTTCCTCATAAAAACATATCTGGGTTTGTGTTTTGTTTCATTCACAGGTTTACTACACAAACCCTGCAGAAAACATTATGTCACACCTTGTTTTGCCCGGGAATTGCGAATCTCTATTGAACAAAAAGTAAAAGGTAGTTGTTAACTTAAAAACTACTACTACTAATACATAACATCACAAGGACATGACACAGAACATTCTGAGCTTTGGAGATGTAGACAAACTAATACCAGAGTTACTCAAATGTGTGAATGAAAGAAAAAAATGCGGAAGTAACAGCATAATAATATAACATAAGGCTAACAAGAATCCATTTTATGTTATATCAGACCTTCAATTCTATTCTGCTCATCACAACAAGATTTATATAAAAGGAACAACCTGAAACCTACATAGACAATATTAAAAGGAAGTAACTTGCTGAATGGTAAATGCAAAATACTAGGAAGTTTAGTGCTCATGGAGTTGAAAAGTTATCTTAAAAGTGCTGCTAACTTTATTTTTTGTCCAAAAGATATCTGCAGTTATGTCATAATATACGTTTACACATTTAACCTTGCATTCTTTTAGAGTGAGAAGAGCGAAAACAGTAAAAACTTCACTCACAAAAAACACTGCACGACAAACAGCCTTAGTTAACTGGCTAATAAAATGTGTTCTGACGTTAGCCTTGCATAGTATAAGATAAATGCAACACTTAATGCTTTAAGTAGTCTCCAAAACTCTCACTTAAAAATATTCTTTTGTGGAGCCAGACCTATTTACTTTTGACAATTTTCTGACATAAAAGCAGCCTTTATTTTTTTGTATGGGAAGAACTGGAGTTGTGGGGTAATGAGCAGAGAAACAACCATAGACTGTATAAAAAAGTGGACTAAATGAGTGTGACGTCACCCATAGTGTTCGGCTCCAGTTGAATGAATCTCACATCACGAGGCTAGCACTTACAGGGACAAATTTAGAGTTCCATATTAGTAATAAGAATTATAAAATAGCAAAATAAAAACACCAGGATCATGTAGAGCAGGTTAATACAAGCATTTTAAGCCCAAAATAACAAGGCTCACAGCAGCAGTTACAAAGAGAGAGGTGATAATTTCTCAATGTAAATTCCATTGGAGCTGATGTGGATAAAGCCGAAAACAACCCCATGTTCACTTTTTATCTGGAACGTGGTGGCTAGAGGGTTAGCTATGTCCATTTATACAGCCTATGATAATAACATAAACAAAACCAATGGTAAGTTTTAGGCCTGTCATACCATAAAGAAAGTCATGGTGCTGCCTCCGTGGATGGTCCCGTACTCAATGTTGGTCTGGTCGGCCAGGTCGTCCGGAGACTCGATAGGCACCTCCATCCTCTGCACGGTGAGGAAGGCTGCCAGGTTAGCCGTGTAGGAGGAGATGATGATGAGTGTGAACGCCCACCTGTGTGATGGAGACAGATCACGTGACAGTAGCATGGCGCGCAACTGCATCTTTCACTGAAATGAGACGCTTAAGTGACCTTGTGTTAAGATTAAAACGTGCTCCATGGACATATTCTTCTACTTAATAACAATATAAGACATACCCTTCCTCTTTCACTGTAATTTGCTCTTTTTTATTCTGCCATTAACACTGTGGTTCTTGCATAGCAACCTTAACCTTCTCTGAGATTCAGTTAATATTTTCATAATGCTGCTCAGAAAGTTGTTAAAAAAGTAAAGCTGAAAATAAATGATAAACAGAGTGCAGTCAGTACACTATAAATCCTGCTCCATCAAGGTCAATGCTCATCTTTATTCAGAGATTGACCTTGTTTATGTGAATTGACGACACTGTATATTGCCGTTAACACAAATAATATAGAAGATACTGTGTAAGAGACTTTCAAATTTCAAGTTTGTCAGAATCTGAATCAGTTTCATTGCCATTATTACTGAACAAAATTCCCAAACTAGGAAATTCCTTCAGCCATATATTTAGAGAAAAGTGACTTATCACCAATTTGAGAAAATCGAGTATGTCATGAAATTATACTAATGTGCGGTAAGTGAAATGAATTAGTGGTAAATGCCTTTTAAACCTTCTCCAAATCATTGTAAACTTTATTGGTCAAACCAAACTCTTCATATTTTACCTAAAAAGGAGAAACAAATGCATGCATTCAAAAATAATTTCATAATTGCAATTGTAACTTACCACACTCCACTGACACATCTGGTGGACAAGGCTCTGGGCATGATCTCTGATCCCTGCTGCATGAAGCCTCCCACTGGGAACCACAGACTGTTCCCAAGAGTGTACTGGTTCTCCAACATGTCCCTGCGCTCCCGGAGACACGGGTGAGGGTTGTACCACTCATAAGGGCTTAACCTGTCACCAAATAGGAGCACAGCAAAAAGCCCCAAGGTCAAACAGCTGTACAGTAATATTACTTGTCATATCCTCCTAGCTATCACCGATCAATCATCGGATTGCTGTCAAAACTGTCTACAAGGTAGTGTGAGGTAAAAAATCTTGGTGTGTGACAGGTGGCGTGTGCTCCATGAGACAAACGGTGATGTTCCCAGATGTGTGCGCTGTCGCTTTAGTGTGATGTAATGTATTGACCTTGCAGCGAGGAAGAGCACACAGCTGACAGCCAGGTAGGCGAGCAGCATAAAGAGCCAGACGGCGGGGGAGAAGGGGTCGAGAAAGGAGAAGTAACCCGGCTTCCGTCCCTGTGAAGAGGCACATGAAAATAGAAGAGGTATAAATGTCTGGAGAGAGAAAGGGTGTTGAAATGCAGGTAGAGCTAGGACACTTGACACCACAGGAGGGCAGTGTCCCTCAGTCTGCTCTAATATTGAGCCTGCAGTCCTTTTGATACGCTAATGCTACAATCCATATTCGCTCTGTTTCACAATGCCTTCTGCCGAAGCGCACTTGGCTCAGGCCCAAAACCTCATTAGCAATGTAAAGCTGTCACTGTTACCCCGTTACACAGCACTGACTTATCGAGCTATTGAAATTACACCTATAAATTTCAGCGGGGACAAAGTGGAACCAAACAGGCACACAAATACCTGAAAAATAAAGGGCAAAATGCTAAATGTGATGTAGCTTGTTAGCTCAGTCTTAGTTTACTTGGCTGAGACCCTGCTGGCTTCTATTAGAGTAAACCAAAGACTGTGGTCTGGCAGGAGGCACACAGGCACATAACAGTCTCACCATTTGAACCCGGTACAAGATGCTGATCCCTAGGGTCATGAACGGCTTAGAGAAGTCGATAACTTTCTCTCGCTCCGATGTGATGGTGAAGCTTGCCACGGCCAGGTCGGCTTTCTGCAGGATTGACAGAGATAGACGGAGAGATGGACACATAATGGTAGGTTTGAGGAGAAGACAGAGGAAGAGGGAGGAGGGGGTCATATTGAGTAGTTAATACAAAATCAGTAGATTTTTCTGCATGAGTGTAACACCAATATCAGTCTGCTGAAGGAGACAGGTCAGTAATTACTGCTTCGATCCAATAAACACAAAATTAAGCAAAATAAAATGGTGATGGAGACAAAATCAGTTTAGTTAACTTAATATGGAAACATAAAGAGCGTATTTCCGCATATTTCAGCATAACATCGTATTTCAGCCTAACAGCTTATTCATTAGAACAATAATTTAGAAGTATCCTGGTCAATGTGTGAGCCTTAGATCTACTGTATATAGTATGTAGCACTGTATGTAGCTGAAAAACAAATCTAATCTGAAAAACGTTATTATATATGTTTTCATGGAAATAGGTGAAGTATTTGCCATAATGTATTCCTCATTTACAATTTACTAAAGAGTTTGCAAAACATGATTATAAACGGTTATCAAAATAACTTACGAATCTAAATTGTATGTGTTTTGGTCCTGAGCAAACTAATGGACATTTGAATGAATAAGAGCCTGCACATTTTTGCCCTCCATTCAACTTCGAGTTCAACCACCAACCAAACAAGGCTAATTGCGAGTAAGCATTGGGTGGCTGGTCTTTGCACCTGCATAAAACCTGGTGGGTCTCTGGTCGCTCTGCTGCCCCTCCATTTCCTCCATTAAAAGCTAATTGATGAACATGGGCTGCTAATTAGAACTGAGTGATCAGGCCATGGGGAGGGCAGGCAGAGCTGGGGGAGCACACTAGTGTGGCGGGTCCCACATAGGACCACAGTGTGGTAATTGAAGTATACCGTATGGTAATTAAGCAGAAAGGGGCTCTCATTAGCCTGCTTCAACCAGAGTGTCTGTCAGCGGTGCAATAGGCCTGGACTGGGGAGAAGGAGCTGACTGGGAAAGGCTCAGAGCAAAAGAAAAAGATGCCACAGACAATTTTAAGCAATGCTACCACTCTCTTATGGGGAATTATCAAGTCAGCTTTTGTCCTAGATAAGAGACTTACTCCCCTGTGAGGCCAATCTGAAACATGGGAAGTTACAGCACAGTTGTGGTTTGGGGCTAAAACATCAGTGTGTGTGCAAATCTGTGGCTGTGTAAAAGTGTATTTCTTATGAGAACTCTTAAACTGAGTAATAACAAGCAAAATTAATATGCCCTTGACTAAAGTGATCCAATTAGAAAGTGTTTAAACACCAGTGTAAAGGTCAGGCACAGGTTTGTCAGTTTCAGATAAAATATTCTGAAACAGAGAACGTCTGCTAAAGAACTGGTAAATTACTCCACAGTTGGTGAAAGGTCAGAGGTTTGATTCCCAGCATGGAGCCAAATATTACAGTAATAATGTAAAAATGTTTTTTCCAAATAATTCACTACGGCCCACATTGACTTGGTACCAACGTATGTAGTTAACCTTAACCTGTCTTACGCGACATTATCAATCTGGGATGGCTCTCACTGGAAAACACGTAACGTCATAATGATTATTTGAATCCGATTGGTTGAAGTGTCACAACTGCAGAACAAGCCGAAACATCAAACTTTTGATACATCTAGTTGACACTAAAATAGTAATGTCAGTTACTTTTTCAATTAGTTTTCAATTTCCCAAAAATTATTATGTCAAGATATTCCTTAGAGGAACTGCTTTGCTAGTGGGGCCTCTGATTTTTAAAAATCTTTTTCTGAATATTCATTGTTTATTCATAAAACTCCTCAAGTTTGGCATGAATATAGTAGTGTGCCTTTTGTGTATTCCATTATGAATAGTAAGTGACATGCAGTATTATAAGCCAAAAGAAGGCAATTATGTGCTGTGACCTCAGAAAACCCCATCTGACTGCATGTGCTGGAGATAAGCCTGAGTCAGAGACAGCCCTGGATGGCCACTTGTGCATGTTTATGTGTTTGTAATGAGGGAGTGTGAGGGGCAGATAGGAGCCATACACACCCTGTTGATCAGCTCTCCAACCATGCCTGTCCAAGAACCATTGGGCTCTGGGGCGCCGTAGAGACCGTCATCCACCAGCTTGATCTTGAAGGAGAACTTGAGCATGTCTGCCACCTCCCTCAGCATGTCCATACAGAAGCCCTCGTACTGGTCATTGCCCTGGTAGTCCTGGTAGTTCTCTTTGCGCATCATATATGGATTCTCCTGAACAGAAGGTTATGACATGATTCAGGCCAATGCTGTTTAATGTGTGGGAAAGATGTCAACAGGAAAGATGAATCCAGTTCTGCATGATAAAAAAAAAAACAACATAATTTTTACCACAGCTAAAACTGGGCTTGGTGGATCTTGCCAAGTAGTAAAATCACTGCCAAGGAGGAGAAAGACTGATCTATGAATTGCTTTATGCATAAAAGACAGAAGCCACAGAGACATATAAGATATAAGCAATAAAGAGACTCTTAGTTATTACAACATATGCGTGTGCCAGACAGAAGATGAACAAAATCTATTAATGATTCCAACAATCCACCCATTCTTCCTTGTTTAATTTGGCAACACTGTGTAATGTTATTGGCAGAAGTAAAACGCACTAAATTGTTTCATGTTAAACCCAGGAAAACTTAATGAATTGAACATTTATGCTCACAGATGTATGCTATTGATTAAGTAAGTGTGTTATATTGAAAAATCGACTCACTGAACATGTGCAAGGATCCATAAACATAGAAACTGGGGGTAAAAACTGCCAGTTTTGTTGATCAAATGTTTCAGTGAAATCTTTCGAACAACCTCCACAGCCTGACCTTGCGAGTAGAATTGATTTTGTCATTTATAGCCAACAGATGATTCAATATGCACAGCCCAGCAACTGGAATGAATTTATTCAGGCATAGTCAAAAGCTATTTTAACTTTTCGGCTGCAACATGAGAAAAGATTCAAATACACAAATAAAAATCTTTCATCTCCTTTGGTTTGTTTCTGTTTGACTTCTATGGGCATTTACATTCAAAAACAAGTGTGGGAGGAAGGCAAAGCACCAAGACAGAGCACTCAATAACACAAAAAGACAACAGAATTCAACACAGAGGTTTGGTGACTGTGAAAGAAAACAATAAAATCTCTATGGAGATGAGCAAGTTGGGGACCCTCTATAAGAACAGTTACAAAGGGCATATTTCATTTTTATCATTATATCTTTTGTTATCTTGTCTACATCATCTACACAATGTATTATTATGCTTTCTGCTTCCTGTATTTATTACATAAAATTGATCGTTGTGAGCTTTAAGCCTTGGTTTAGTGCTGTTATCTCAGAAGTACCATCAGAAGATGTATTTTGTTTCATTCACACATGATTGACTATCCCTGCATTATTAGTCTGTTTACATCTCCAAAGCTCAACATGCTCTATTCTACCCTATGATGTCATGAAGCTGTAATTTTCAAGTTAACAGCTACCTTTTATCTTTAGTTCAGTAGAGATTGTCGATTCCAGGACTACAGTTATCCAAATGACTGAAGTGAAGTTGTATGGAGTTTCAAAACACAGTGGAGCACTTCCTGCATTACCACATGACAGCACAAGGTGGAAAGATCGTTTTCTATTTGAGAGAAGAACTCAGTCTAAACATGCTTTATTTCTGTGTTAAACATGAAACAAAACACAACTCCAGGAATGTGTTTGATGAGGAGACAAGATCTGATACTACCGGAAAATGTGCCCTCTAATATATAGGGATGTCAAAATTAGCCTGTCACCGAAATTAGCTAATATTTGTCATGTTTAGTGAAACCTAGTACATCGTAAATATTCACATACATTTAAATACAGCATGCACTGACATACGGCTCATGGTAAGTTATAACTGTATTAGGCTATATTTCTTGAACAGGGGAAAAATGTAACTCAATTGTATTCAAAAGTCTGAAATGAATCATCTGTCTTTCCCAGTCTCAGCTGCAGTGACAGTAAAACTGGCTGCGACACTCTACACAACAGCACAGCCCACAGCTCAGAAGTGTGACCTTACCAGTATGGTGGTAACAATGAGGGTCTTGTTCGCCAGTGTCTCTGAGACATTAATATCCAGACTGGTGGAGTTCATCACCAGCGTGTTGTTCGAGTACCAGATTCCGATCTGACACAGAAGAGAGAACAGGGTGAAAATCAATGGCTATTGTCACCTAAATAATGTACTGAGGAGGTCTGAATTCACTTCACCAGTCCCCTGTATTAGCGTCTATGGGCTAGAGGACTCTTAAAGGAGGCTGAGGGGTTTATTTTATAAATGTTCATAATTTGCACAAACATAAATATATAAATAATAAGTGCTAGGAAAAACGATTGATTCAGTTGTTCCCACTGAACAAAATTCAGCACAAATCTGTATGAAAATCATTACATTTGAAGCTTTATTAGATCTCAAAATATGAGCAAAATAATTTTACTTTTTAACTCTTTAAGTACATTTTTAAATAGGTACTTTAATTCTTCTGATTATTTTATTTGCTCTAGTATCTGTATTTCCACTTAAGCAGCCACTGTATCGGGCTGGAGCACTCTTAAAAAAGCGGGCTTACATGTGTAATAGATGGGGCTTTGTGTTGCTCCCATTACAGCGTATGCAAAAGGATCCAATTATTCCCCATGGAGCAGTTCAGGGACATTGACTACTATGATAAAATATACGAGGGCAGCGAGGCAAGGCAGAAAATAATAAAGGCAACTATGATTAATCATTTTATTTCAATGTCTATTTTCATTTGATCCAGTCTCATAATGCATTAAACAGATCTCGTTTCCCTTTCACAAGTCTTTTAACTACCCCGGTGATTATTACGGCTCAGCAAAGGAAGAGGGAAGATAGGCGTGCTCGTAAAGGTATTTCTTTAAGAGATAATACTATACGTCTTTCACTAGGTCAGAAAGAAGGTAATGGCTTCTCAGACAGAATCACCCTTTATATATGACACTCTTTATCCTTCCCTGACATTTAAGAGTGGTCTCCAGCACAGCCTGCCTGCAGTGGGGCCTGCCTATGCTGCTGCTGCTTCTGCTGCTGAGAGGAGAAGGACCCAAAGTGAAAATGTTAATAATCACATGCTAACTCCCTGATAGCGTTAGATCAAGATTTAAGTGCGGTTATCAGGTGGCATTTACAGTTAACACCGGGAGCTGTTGGCCTACACCAGTAAAGAGCCCAGAAAGACATTAGGAGATTAGGGGGAGGTGACGGCGAAGCGTGTCCCTCAATGTCAATGAAGCGAGTAGCTATACCCTCAATCTGGGGATGTACTGGTGTGTGGGCTCAAGCATCATTACTTCCTGACTTTCAAATACAGGTTAAAAGCAGGGTTTTATCTTGGACATTTCACTTTATAGCTCACTAAGGAAAAGGAAATGCTACTAAAACTGTCTGAAGTTTTTTTTTTTCTTTTTTTTCTGTAGAGTCAGAGGACATATAAAACATCTGTTGTGAGAGGAAAAAATCTAATTGGACGTGCTCTGACTATATAGTGTATGATAGGGTATATTATCCTATTGATACTTTGCAGTGACATTTCACTGGAGGTTTTCTATGTATATCTCTATTAGCGTAATGTTCAGCAGTTATCATGGCACACATTAGCAAACAAAGAGAAAAAAGGTTTAAGATAGAAGATACAAAAATTGATTTAAACAACACATTTTAAGGAGCCTATGGTCAATATGAGCATTCACAGTCCTGTTTAGGTGTTTGCTTTTCAACAGAAAGGAGAGTGTGATTAACAGAAAAACTGTTGGCTAATGCTACCTTGTGACAGTATTTTGATGTGAGAGACTTGTTTAACAGCATAAATCAGCTCACCAGTTGTAGTTCCAAATAAATCAGCTTCTGGTCAGATTGTGTTGAAATAAAACTCAGATTAAAGTCTAATTTGAGTATCTGAACTTCTAATAGAGAAGTGCTTTGAGTTAGCATCACACCCCAGGGAATTCTGATGACATGAGCAGTATCAATACCAATTTTACACTAACAAAGGGCTTGAAGATAATAAAAGACAATAAAAATCAAATAATGATTTTAATCCTTCTTTTGATGATATCATCATATCGTGATTCACTATTTCTCTACTTTTTCAGACCTACTTCTCCGAATGGTTAGACTCTGTAAGGCTCTGAGTTAAGCACACACTTTCAGCAGAAGGCAATGGCTTCATCTATAAGGCAACTGAAAAAAAAACAAAGTGTACAGGAATCATGATCAAATTGAAATTGTGACCTGGCCAAGAAAATCATGAAATATTTTTTGGCCCATTGTCCACCCTGATAAGTCGATACAGTACTTGTATCATGACAGGCCTAGTGAGCTATATAAGGCATGCACAATGAAGCCATCTTGATAAACTGCAATGATATTTGGTTGATGTCATAGAGACGATACCACGTTGACCGCAGAGTTAAACGTCTCCTCTGGCACAGTGGGATCACACGAGAGGCCCATACTCAGCCTGGAGCCCACGGGTGCTCAGACCTGCTGCTGTGTGATAACAGGTGTCTGCTGACCTCTTTGTGGCCTCCGCGGTGCTTCTCCAGGATCCGCAGGGTGTAGTTGGTCCTCTGCCCTTTACTGTTGAACTCCACACGGCCCGTCAGACCGTCATACTCCACCTGGCAGCCAGAAGGAGAGAGTGAGGAGAGAGGCAGAGTTGGTGTGGTTAAAGAACATCTAGAACAGCACATTTATTGTAAACTAAATAGATAGAATTGTGTTGTCCCACAAGCTTTTCTAGAGGACTATTCTTTACTCACATAGCAGACTAAACAAATTCTAGATAAAAATCCTGAAAAATGAATGCATTAAAAGTGCTGGCATGACCTTAATTGCAATGGGTAAGTGTTGTGTTATTCACAATATTTGTATGAAATTAATAAAAAGATAAAGATTACTACACTGAGACACTAGAATTTTCATCATCCCTCCTGTTTGCATTCAATCAATACACTGCAGTCAGCAACAGTGTATTAAATATATTCTACTTCATAAACACAAAATACAGCAATAAAATGAAGAGAGAGATGGTGGGTGGGAAAACTGACAAAATGTATGATCCACTTACTTTTGAGCTTTCTCAAACTTATTAGCAGTCGTTTCCAATTTAGTTATATAGAGTTATGGATGTTCATAACAAGCAGTATTTTATAAAAATATCCCTACTGCTTTTAAACAATGGAGCACATTTACTCTGGTTGAAACTAAATTACATCCTAAGTAGCCTTTATTTATCCAGGATGGTTCCAATGAGGTTGGGATCTCATTCAGAAGGAAGTCCAGGCTCCAGAAGGGAAATTTTTAGTGAAAGAAGAGGACTTTTCCATCAAGCCCAGGGAGCTGGAGAGTCACACCATTTAGCCCAACTTAACTAAAGTTGACTTTTGTTCCTTGGTTGTAAGAGTTGGATTGAGAACATTATAATAAAACAGCCTGTACCTAATTTTGTCCATGTATTTGAGCAAAATTTGTCTTGCCCCAGATATACTGTGTAAGCAGCTAGTGAGGTCAAAATAATCACACTGTATATGGTCTGCATCTAATTATAAAGTGTTTTATTGTCCGAGGATCAGAAAGTGTGTGAGTAATTAGTATGCTCAGAATGCATAAGGCAAATGAGAAACTGGACCTCTGCAAAACATTTTAAATATAATATTTCTGTTTTTCACATTCCACATACAGAGCACATTTGTTCATTTGTTGTTTTTTAGAGCAGGCTTTCTCTCTGTATGTTTACAGTCAGAGAATTCATGACATCAATCATAATTAGGTCTGTCTAACTATCCACTGGGAAAAAGTGGACATTGCCAACCAGTCTTGCATCTGAACCAACTGAGAGGAAGCGTTCAAGCGGGAGGCTGAAACTAAGCAGTGGAAGGGAAATCAACAGCCCTTTTAATAAGAGCCAAACCTGCCGCTCGCAGCTCCACACTACACTCAGGTGCTGGCACAGTTAGCGCGTCTATGATGAATGGTACAGGGCTGAAGATGGAGAATGCCGTGATGTTGACTAACAAAGACAGATGTTGGGCGGTCGGGGCAGAGGCAATGAGAGATGGGTCTCCGGTTGCTTTGACAACAGGTCATCAATGGGACGAGCTCACTGGGATGGCTCATGTTATGACAGAGAAAGAAACACAGGGGTTACGAGCATAAGAAAATGAACATGGAACAGAATGTACTTTATGCACATTTTTAGCACTATTATAATGAGATGATTAAAAATTACTGCAGGGACACAATAAACTAGACACGGTATGAAGTCCGTTAAAGCTGTGGTTTTATTATGGCATAAATAGTGGTACAATTCTAGGTAAGGTTATCTGAGGAGACATGTTTTCCTCTCCAAATGTTCTTTTTTTGTCTTGATTTGAATACAATACAAATATGGGAACTGACAGTTGGGGATTGTAACAAAATTACTGTACCATTCATTTCAAACCAGAGATGTAGAAAAAGAACAATCGCATTTTTGAATTTGGAAGGACAAAATCAAACCGTACATCCTTGTAAAATGGATCAAGGAGGACAAAATTTACAAGGTGCACATCAGTTAAGTAGAATATTTTTAGAAAGTACATTTCTTTCAACATTTTCATTTCAAAAGAGAAATGTATTAAATAAAGATTAATATAACATTTTGTAGATACTTTTATCTTCCAATGACATAGTGAACTACACTACACGATATTACATTATATAATTATAACTTCTTTGACACCATTTGGTCTATTTTTGCTATTTATTTAGAATGTATTACCATCTATATTTTTGCTATCTATATTTCTTAATATTATATTGTGATGTATTAGCTGCTGTGTCCAAATAATTTCCTGTGTTCAAATAATTAAGAAAATGGATAAGCAGAAGAAAATGGAAATTTCCCTTGTGGATCAATGAAATTTGTCTAAGTTATTAAAATAAAAACAGTTCACATATGATTCCTATACCATGACTATGCGGTAATTAGATTTTTTTTTCTATTTTATCCAGCTTACACGTGAATAACGCTCTATACGAGTATATATGTAAATGTGAAATAAAATCCTGAATCTACAAACAAACCTACAGTTTGTAAAGAACATGGTATAAGAAAAGAAAAGTATGTGGTATGTGTATGAATGAGCAAATGCACAACAAACAACTTCCATTGTTATTTTTAGACTATAATGTGACTGCTACCTAGAGTGGATTATCTAATCACTTGAGTATATAGCATTAATACATTTTCTGAATTACATTGTACTTGACATATAGCAGAAGCACACACTCAAGCACTTACCATGCGCAGATAGTTCATAAGACTGGTCCCGTGTTGCCAGATCTGAGGCGATGTGCAGCTCAGTGGCTTCACTCCAATCTCCTGACTGCGGTTCAATTCCCGGACGGCGCCCACCACCACATGCACCGCGTCAAACATGAGCGCCGACGAGAGCTAAAAGAGGCCGAGTCAGAGAGGTGAGCAACATGAGAGCGAGACGAAGCGCTGATTGAACGGTTAACCGGGATGAAAGCAGAATACTGGGAGAGAGAATAGATGTAAGGTATGAGCAAAACCAATGGGGACCCTACACAGATGGATACATCAATACCCATTAAACACAAGCAAAGGACTGGAGCTGAATATGTCTAGCAGCCCAGTGAATCAGTGAGGGAAAATGTAGTTTGATGTAGCTTGGCAAATAAACAAAGCTATTACAATGTGTGGGTGTTTACAGCATGTGTGAATGGGACTCACTGCTGGGCCAGGGTACGTCAGGTCACAGCCCTCCCGCCAGGACAGGTTCAAGCTCCGGATAAACTCCAGGTAGAACGGGTGAGTGGTGTTGAACATGGAGAAGCCCACGATGTTGGACTGGTCATCAACTATGTCATCTAGTCTCAGGAGGGGGAAGTCCTGGAGGAGAAGGTGAGATAGTTGTGACTGTATAAAGGAGAAAGATGATACACATGATACACTACATGGGCAAATAAATGAAGTAATGCACCTACTTCAAAATATGTACTATTTTTTATTCAACACTACATGGTCGTTTGATACAAAAAATATTATTAATATAAACAGAAAAACTGATTTTTAAGGAGTATGCCCATTTGACCTAACGCTGCAGAGCAAGATGGATTCTTGCAATATCTATGAGTTCACAAACTCACCAGAATCTATTTTCAGAGTGCTACACATACCAATTTGGTGTGAGTCAGGTTAAATTTTACCATTTTGAACAACTGACTTTTCCTCTTTGTCCTCATCGTTTTATTCATGCATATTTGAGAAACTGTGCACATTTTAGGAGTCACCCTCTCCAGAGTTCAAAACATTTGGTTTGTGATATCATTAAAAGACTAGACCTGATATTTCAGTCCCAGATTCACCTACTCTCTGATTAATCTCAACTTTCATTAATTGTTTTGGCCTCATTAAATGAGCCAAATAGGACCTAATCAATGTTGTAATCAACTGTTGTGCTTTAGGTTGCTGCTTTTTCCTTGGTTAACATTGCATTTGTCTGATGATAATCACCCCTAATGCTTAAATCAGCCTTTGATAATGAGTCTTTTAAGGTTCTGCTCATTATAATTTCAAGGTCAGACCACCTGCTGTAATGTGACAGATGCTTGACCTGCTTTACATGTTAAAATCTTTTGATAATCTCTGTGATCCTTGGGTAATTGAAAAGCTGTTTAATATGCAATAAGGTTAGATAACACTTTAATTAAAGTCAACGAGAACAATGCTTTATGGACCGGAGATTACCAATTATAAGCACTTTTGTCTGGTTCTATATAGGTGCTTCAAAATTTGTTACAATAACACATTTTGAAGGACAATATATTGCAACAGAGATATACTGCAATAAACAATAATATTGAAACTATTTTACCCCACTGTCACAAAGCAGGATAATCCCAGTAAACCAAATTTTAAATAGAGAGTATTTAAAAGAAATAATAAATAAAAGGTAGAATGAACCAAAAATTAGTCATAGCAGTTAGCATAATAGAATTTATTCTACTCTCTACAGCTCAAATCTTACATTATTTCATAAAACTCTCCCCACTACTGCAAAGAAAAAGATGATAAATGATCAATATTGAGCCCCAAAATATATTGTTCCAGCTATGATGTAATTATCGTGACAGGCCTAGTTCTATATATCCTAAATAAAACACATATACTAATGTAAGAAGATACTGACCAGATCAGTAAGGACATATTACATGACTAATCCTGATAGACAGTAATAAAATCATAACACTTTATTGTTAGCAAGTGGTCCCATCTCTCAAAACACAATTTTTCCTGCTTTGGTTCAGGCAGAGACGTAAATCCTGGTGAGTGACAGTGTTGACAGTGTATCAAATTTTTACTAGTGGAAAAATAAATGTGTAGGAAGGGAGATTGTGATGAAGAAAAAAGAGCTACAGAGGAGAGGGAGTGACACATCTAATCTCCAACGAAGAGAAGAAGAAACGATATAGACAGCCCCTAAAAGAGGGGAAAACACTGATACGGGTGGAGAAGAGGTTGATGGAAATAACTCCAGTGGGTTTTTTTTTTTTTTTTTAAGATGAAGAGCATACTGAGGGCGGAGAGGGGTAGAAAATAAAAATCAAGGAGCACTGCATAAAGTGACACATTAATTCAAATGGAAGGAAGCGAGGGGAGTATATCAAAGCATGAGATGAAAAACCTAACAGGAGACAGCGGCTGGAGGTGGAGAAAAAAACAAAAAGAGGCCACCACACATCTGTCATCACCTTTACCTACAACCCTGTCTATACATATCATACGGTACCACAGCTGCTTCCCTTCCTCTCCCTTATCACTTCATCTGCGACGCTTCAACCTTTTGCTCGCCCATAAAGGGACAGACGGGAGGGCTGTGGGAGGATGTGCGTACTCTTACCATGGTGGTTAGGATGTACTTGTAAAACGCTGATGTCATCCCCAGCTCCGATGCCTGTAGCAGAGAGAGACAGAGAGAGAAAGAGGGAGGGAGAGACAGGGAGAAAAATAATGTTAGCAATAAAAGAGTAAAATAAGGGACAGACAGGTGAGCATAATGTGAGACAGGAAGATTGATGGAGGGTGCAGTCGGAGGGTATATGAGAGCAGAGGGGGGACAAAAGAGGAAAGCAATAGAATACGTTAATCACAGTTTTTTATCATCAGACATTTGGTTAAAGGGCGGGCATCTCATACGCAAAAACATGCCTGACTCACTGGCTACAGGCAAAGCATTTCCTGATTCAACCTCTGTAACATCTGTGCTGCAGCCCACCAAAAACATGTCTTTTTGTCAACTAATTTCTTCAAGAGTGCAATCGGGTCCCAAGGAGATATGCGGAATGTTTTTTTACAATGCAAATCCACCAGGCTCGGAATGTAGAAATAAGATGTTAAGGCAATTCCAGTGAGACACTTAGAGTGAGGGGGAATTTTAAGTGCTCATTTTGGATAAACAGAGTGTAAATGATACCAGTGGCAATGAGTACTATGGCGCAAATTAAAGCTTTTAGTTTTCGTTTTAGAAATGGAGTGCTTCAATGAAATGGTGTTGCAGTATTGGTATGGAAAATGTGCACCATACTTTTGCAATAAAGAAATGAATTGAAAATGAATTCTTAGTGAAACTTGCAAAATAATAAACAACTGCTAGGAATATCATTTAAAAGGGTGGAGTTTATATACCGACAAAGCAGACTGTGGAAAACAACATGCAAAAGCTTCCAACAAGTAAATGAGGCATAACATTTCAAACTACCGTAAAGAATGCACAAAAACTTTATGCTGTAAGCTCACACATACTGTAGGCTAGAATAGGCATCAGACAGTTAATCCACTATGAAGAATTTGTAAAGAAAAGCCCTCTATGAAATAAAAAGTTTCATAATTAATCCCATTTGGAATAATAACATTAAACATTTTTCATCGCAATGCATATTGAATTGTAGGTCCAAAACGAATTGTGACATTTTTGAATTGTTAAATTGCTTGTAACATACTGACATACTTTTGTTAGTCATCTGTCCAAGGCTATATGAGAGAGTCATGCTGTTTTGATTAAATGTTATTTCACACACTATTACCATGTTATTTCACACACTGACAGAAAGTTTTGTTGTCACAAATCACAATACTAAAATTTCAAACTCAATTTTGATACTAAGGGATAAAATACACTCTTCTTATATTTTTTTAGAATGTAATTTCAACATTAAAAACATAAAAATTTTGTAATTTCCTATATATTCCCATGTAATCTCATATCTGTATAATCCCTCAGTTGTTCCTCAGACCAATGTGGTTTTATACTTATAGTCTGATACAGCTCAAGATCATTCTAGAGCTATTCAGGAAAAGTTAATTTCATCCAGTTAATGTGAGCTTTTTAGTATTGATACTTGTTCAAATAAGTGTCTAGGTTCAATTTTAATTTTAATATCATCCCTAACAGACACTGACAAAACGAATCAGAGAAATGTGAGATATATACTTAGCTAAAAGTCAGAATAGCATTGCAAAAGAAAAGCAAGTTGGTCCATTAGTGGCAAAGCTGTGCCTCAGATTTAAACCTTGGCAGCACCACTCTGAGTATGGGTGAACCCACACACTGTAAACATTCACCATTGCTCGGGCCAAAAATAGTTGGACAAGTGTCAGTTCCTTCCCCTTATAGAGAAAAACTATCAAACTTTCTACTCTTGTGAGGTCTCAAACTGACCTTTTGAGGATGAGGTAGGACACAGAGGCATTGGCATCGATGATGATGGTAGCCACCTTGTCGTCGCGGATCTCTTTGAGCAGCGGCGTGGGATCCATGTTGTCATCGAGCATACGCACCGACAGTGTCTCTCGGGAGATGAGGAAGCGGCGCACTAGCTCCTCCAGTCTGAGCAGGCCTGAAATACAGCACAAGCCCATATCAACGTGGAGATCTTAGATTGTCACAAGCTTTAATGAATGAGTTAGCTTTGGTGTTAGCTTTGGTGTCCAGTAAAAGACATTGTGATGAATTGTGTCGTTGATTACTTAATTAATAGTATTTCTAAAAGGGGGGTCTTTTTAAAATTGGTACCTAAAGATGCCTGTACCTCACAGCCTTAACTAGGTTGCATGCTCCAGTTTAACCACTCCTTGGGCTTGTGTACAGCTGTGTCTCATTTTCGTGCATGCACTACTGACTGCATACAGTTATAAAGTGTCTATTAATGAATTAATCAGTCCATTTATATAGGACTTTTCAAGACCCTCATGACGCTTCACAGTTCATTGTACTATACAGTATTGCTGTGTACCATACTCAATGGTGGCAAGCTACTATTGTAGGGCAGCTGTGGCTACAATAGTAGCTTGCCTCCACAGACAGATTGACAGAAGCGACCGATCTGCGCCATCAGCTCCTCGAACCACCACCAACACTCACGCACACTCCACTGTAGGTGAAGTGTCTTGCCTAAGAACACAACGACAGTTTTGCCACTGGCACCCCACTGTGGCACCTGGAATTCCCAGTGGTCTCCCGTCCAAGTACTACCCAGATCTGGCCTTGCTTAGTTTCTGAGATCCGATGAGATCAGGCTTTGACAAGCATATGGCCTCACAGCTGACATTTAGGAGATGCTTTCCCCCAGGGCCTGGACACTCGAGGTGATAGAAGTGAAGCCTGTGAGAGTGAAGGGGAGGATGAAATGATGAGAAGAGTGATGAAGATGATAAGATGATGAGGAGAGTGAGGAGGATGATGAAAGGATGAGGGGAACAATGAGATGATGAAGAGTGTGAAGAGGAAAATGAGAGAATGAGGAGTGTGAAGGGGACGATAAAAAGCTGAGGTGGTGATGGGGAGCAGTACGAGGAGCAGGTAAAGTCTAGAGAAGCGTTGAGGTAGATGGGAGCAAAGTTAGGCCTTCCAAGCTGAATTAATGCAAGCTCCATATCAACACCACTCACACACCCCAATGGGAGGACAGTGGGACCCCCCTTCATCCTTGACTGCCCCTATTTCTATCACTTTGTAGGGCGTGAACAACAGTTTGTCCAAAATGTGTTGGAAATAAACAAAAGCAATACATTGGGATTCAACACTGTGCACTGAGTCTGCTCTCTGAGTAAGGCTTTATTTTTTATTCATCATGACCTCGGCCAAGGATACTGTTTTTTAGCCGTTTATGTTTGTTTTCATGTTTGTAAGCTGGGTGAGAAACACTCTTGACATATTGTATTTCAGAGCCATCTGGAAGGTTTCCATACTTCTGGATTAGGAGCAAAATTAATCATTTTGTTTCTGTACACTGTGAGGGCATTTGGTCTATAACTCTTTATACTCATGCCAGAGAAGCTGACAATTCGCTGTGTATTTCAAAATAGGTTCCAGTTATTTACACACACAAAGAATTCTTCTGTTTTTCCTACAACTGAAAGAAGCACTGAATTAAACAAGGTTGTTGGGTTTTTTTTTTTAGTTCAATTACACAAAAATTTTAGGGGTTCATTTGTGTTTTGGAGTGCTGTTTACTTAAAATAGCACACATTTGAAGCACACAAGTTGTTTTCACTGTGAAAATGCTTACAACAACTAAAACAAATAATTTAGCTGCAACTAAGGAAATGTCTAAAAATACTAGTTTTGTAGATATTTTGTTTTGTCTTTCAGCATTCAGCCATTATGAATTAAAATATTTTTCGAGATAATGTAAAAGAAAAGAAAATCAATGTGAGGCTCGAGTACATAGTGTTCTTTTTCTTCTTCTTTTTCAAAGTAATGCTGCTCAAAGGGATGAAATCATAGGAAAACATATCTACCTCAAAGACACTAATGGATGTTACTGAAGAGGTCACTAGTGCCATTGATGACAGAAAGTATGGGGTATGTATATTTGTGTATCTCAAAAAGGTTTTTGATACTATATAAGTTATTACTTCAAAAACTGTTTAACATTACAAAATGTTCTTTGTTATATAACAATTTACATTTGCATCAACCTGTCCTTGTTAAAACCTCTTGGGATGATTGCAGTCATTATTCTTGATATTCAAATTCAGTTATACAAATCCACAAAGCCTTAACTTAATGTTTGAAACTGTTTTGATTTTGTAACTCCACTTATTACCGTCTTTTAAGGTCACATGCTGAGCTGACAAAAGCTCATATCTGGCGTGGTTTGGATTATTGAAGTATTGAGTTTCATCATAAATCTCCTGACATCATAAAACATCCGTCTAGACTGATATGCTTTAAAGACTTAATTCACATTTGTTTGGACAGAGCCAAGAACAGAAAAGAAGAGCTTTGAATGGAATAGTAAATGTAGATGAGTCCTGAGCCTTGGCAGATACTTTTCCATTATGATGCACTTTCTGTCTAACGTCCAGATACTGTTAGCCTGAATTATACTCACAACATGGTGTCGATTTTCAGAAAAATAATCAAATAACTGTCAGTGACTGCATTTCTCCATAATCCATTCATGAGATGGACGGGTACACTCGGCCACAGCATGAGTGAAATACCCTGCTCAAGAAGATTTGCCCACTTGAAGTGAATTCCTCTTCAAATGGAGTATAACCAATGGCAGTCAAGGCTCACTTGACATCATGCACAAAATACGTCTTCACTAGAAAGTCAACCCCGCTGCTCCCTAATTGTAATTCCCTAGTAAAGCACCCCTAGCTATGTAAATAAGTGGAAGTGGGCTGGCATGTAGTGTGAAGGGAGGAGGAGGTAGGAGCAGAGAGAGGTAGTGCACCGGAGCCCTTCAGCACGAGAAAGCCTCTGTAAGCAGTGGGGTAATCACTGAACCAGGCCAAAACTTTAATTAGTTTGAGGAAGGAGGGAAAAAATCAATGCACTTTCACAGCTTCCTCTCCTCCCCTCCCCTCACTCATTCTACTATAAGCCCCTAACCTCTCTATCTGCTACCTGAGTGTCTAGTCTCTCTCATTCCAGGCTCCTCCTCAGTTCTCCTCATCCAACGTGCAAAAAAACTCCCTAATCGAATTATGTTCACAATGTGACCAAGAGACACAACCCCGCGGAAATGACCCACATCAAAATATGCGAAAGCTGGCAAATTGTGAATTCATTTTACAAATGCCACTGACCAAATTCTCTGGTCTCTAAATATGTTTTTTAATTAAAATGCATCCAGTGTCTGACTTTTTAACACTAGCAACATTCTGGTAGAAAACACAAAACAGACTCCATTTGGACACAGAACGCTAAGATGGAGTAAACAAGATGAATAAAAGAAAAATAGTGGCACACATTTTCTGGTGGTGAACCACTGCAGTGCTATAAAAGACGAGTGCACAGAAAATCAATGTGGTACCTAGTGACATACAGTACACAGTGCTCTAAATACAGCATTGGCCACATTGAAAATACATGGAGGAAGTCACAAGAATAGTTATTAGACCTGTCACAATAATTAGTATATCGACTTTTCGTTCAATATATGTAAGCTGGAACAATATATTTTGGGGGTCAATATTTATCGTGAGGAGTTTTTCTCTATACTAGCAAGGAACTTTTGGGTATTTTTTCCACTATGATCAGAGCTGTGGAGGGTTGAAGAAATAACTTCTTTGGTTCATTCTGCTATTTATATGTAACTGTATTGTACATTTAGAGTAGATTTTGTGGGTAATACTGCTGTAGGTTTTTTGTATCAGTGTCATAAATCGATTTCAGTATTATCGTTTTGTTATCATGACAAGCCTATAAGTTATAGTAGTACCAGTTTCACTGCAACAGAGATAGTATCACTTGTAGTTTTGTGCATTTCTCTTTAATATTATGATTTTAGTGAGTCGCTCTTTCCTACAGACAGTATTCAATAATATCCAGGTCCACTCAAAGACATTTTATAAGCATAAAACAGTCTCTAGTCTGACTCTGCTTCATTTGCAAACAGACCCATACTGAAGTAGTAGAACATATTTTGTCAAACTTCAGAACTTCTTATTTTGAGAAGGTGAAGGGAGGAACATAAAATATTGATTGTGATGAAAAAACTCCAGAATGTCTTGGTGCTCTGCCTCTGCAGTGCTTTAAAAGACCTAGTCAATGACGCACATATGTACATAAGTATTCAAATATGGCATGAGGACAAAGTGATCCTGTACACAGCCTTTCAGAGCCGGGAACAAGCCTGTTGAGTGGCAGTTAGCACCTATTCCGCCGCCATGGCAACCAGCTCCATGGCGATAGATAGCGCAGCCAAGTGGGTCAGAGTCTGTGAGAGTGATAACCTTGTAAAGATCACCTTCAAGCCAAATATATTACACAGCGCACACCCCTGCCTCTGCTGCAGTCGCCCGGATGCTAACTATCAGGGAAATCTCCAGCCTCTGATATCTATGAGAACCTGAAAGCCTTGAGATGGAACCGCCTCTCATCTACCCATTCAACTCTCAATCAAAACTCTACAAAACATCCAATGCCATTTAAAACATCTTTTTAGTTCAATGAAATGACAACTCCGCTAGGAATCGGAGGAAAACTGAGACAGAATCCCAATGAGTGTTTTTGAATATTGGCGAGCTTTTCCATTGTCAAAACTATGTTATCTATTCCGCACCAGTGGTGAGATGTTTCATTCTTGTATGTGTGTGTGACATGCAGACAACTACTGGCTTGCCTCCTCTCCCCCTCATTTTTCCAGTCATTATTGAACCGCATAACAACTAATTTACTATTTCTTTTTGCAACTGTAGAATTCAGTTTTACTCACAACAGTCAGTACAAGTGCTATAGTCATAATCGCGCCAAGCTTTTTGAAATCCCATGACTCTTGATGGTGGGAGTACATAATAAATCAATAATGCAGTCTTTCAAAATGAAAATAAAAAAGGCTGGTGACTAAGCCCCAAATCCCCTGTGATGTTAATGCCTGGCAAGTTAAGCCAAATATCCCCTATGTTCCTCCAATAGTAGAAGGCATTTCAAAAAAGGGAATATTTATTAAATTGGCTTGGCCTAACAACCCTCTGAGGTGGATAAGAGGGGTTGTGAGCGAGGGCATGAGTAATAGAATGGCAGCGGTGTGTGAGCTCTGTTCTGAACTTTGGCTACAGACGGAACTCTGCGACCAGACTGTCACAATGAGTGTCCAAGAGAAGACAAAATAGTCATATCCGCACAACAAAAGAGAATGTATCAACCTTCCCACGCTGGCATCTGCACATAAACAAAAAGGAGTCAGTACAGCAGGGAGTAGCGTACAGTGCTAAAGACTTGAACTGTTTTTAAAAAAGGATATGAACACATAAGCGCTTTACTGTGGAATCTTAGAAAGGAAAACTAAGTAGATGTCTGCCAATAACCAATCATAATGGTTAGGTTAGGTTGCTATTTGCACTTAAAAAAAACTACATTGGAAAAACATGCAAAAAGCTCAAACAGCTTTCATTCACACATTTGAGTAATCCTTTATTATCAGTCTGTCTATATCTGCAAAGCTCAAAATGCTCTGTTCCACCTTGTGATGTCATGTTGTGGGACTTTTCACATTAACAGCTACCTTTTACCTTTAGTTCAGTCGAGATCGGCAGTTCAGGGCTCAAATCATTCATCAATTCTAGTGAAGATGTATGGAGTTTAAAAACACATAGGAGCACTTCCTGTATTACCACATGACATCACAAGGTGGAACAGAGTGTCTTCTATTAGAGTGGAGAGCTCAGCCTAAATATGCAGTGTTTGTGTGTTAAATGTGTGAATGAAACAAAGTACAACTTCAGGTATGTTTTTGATGAGGAAAACAACATTGTGACATAGATCAGAAAATAGCGTTATATATGACACTGTGAAATCAACAAGCTACAAAGATTAAGTAGTCAACATATTAAGGTGCTACATCAAAGTTTAAAGTACATCGTTCAAGTTTGTAACAGTTTGTGTGAAGAAGCTGTCAGCAAATTAACATCCACAATAGTAAAGTCCAAGGTACTAGTCCCGGGGTAAAGGCTATAACTGACAACATAATCCACAAAGCTCTAGTATCTAAAATTGGAAAAAGAATTCTTTAAAAGCCAGATTCTTAACAGCAATCTGGATTCGCACCAAAACTAATCATCTTATCCTTGGCCCATTTGCTAGCCTTTCCCGGATTTGTTTATAATAAAACTGAAAAATCCATTTATTGAAGCCCTAAGGTTATTCTTTCACACCTCAGAAAACATCCAACCACAGCACTGTAAATGTAGAGACCTCACTCACCAGAGTTTTATTGGACTATGGCAGAGGTGGGTGAACATTTTTTTGACTAATTTTAAATTTTAACATCCCAGTGGAGAACAGGGACACCAAGAAAAGGCCCTCCAGCCGAGGATCAAAGGACGGACTGGGGAGAGGCGACAATGCAAACCACTGCACCAACCTGAAGCATGCTTGACTTCAAAAATACTTGTAAAGTATGTGGAGTATATCTTACTTATGAGGAAATAACTGTCAGTATTATACCACATGATCAAAGTCCAGGTTGGGCAATGCAGACAAATTATGCTCCCATTCATACATGTCATGGTGGGAGAAATTGAATATTCACACATTTGCAGTATTTTTGTCAAATTTCCAGCTGTGTCCTCAGTTTACCCCAAGTAGTCCATAGAGGTGTCTTTTACAACCATGTTTCCTGTTATTAAATCTACTTTATTTAGATGAATGTATCAAACGAATTGCCTTGATTTCCTTCATCGGTTTAAAATAGGCCTATACTAAGTAGTTATAGTTGTTTAAGTCTTAAATCTTTTAACATTTTCAAGTCAATTTTAACAAAAATCAAATCAAAATAAAGACACTTGAGAGATGCTATGGTGCTCCCAATGTGTTTTTCTAATAACAACTTACAAATCATAAAGTAGCTTCTCTTCAGATTCAGTTCAATTTGAGTCAACTGAAATTATATCTTATTATACAGTGTCAATGCAATCTCCAGGCTATTGATTTTAGAATCCGGGCACAAATTGCTGTGGTTAGTATTTTTACTGGTGCTAAATTATTCATAACACAAACGTTATACTTTATGAAGAGTTCACTCACACTCCGCCTTGGCGCACACGAGGCTGGCTGACGGGTAGCTGAAAGAGCGCAAGATGGCTCCTATGGCCAGGCTCAGGTCCTCGTTGCTAGGGTACAGCGTCACAGAGGCGAAGCGAAGATAGGGCAGGCGTGGAGTCTCCTCCGGGCCAATCTTTACATGAGGGATCTGTCACGTGAGGATAGACAAGATTAAACATACACACACGCACAAACTATATAAGGAAAATCCATTAATGAGTCTAGAGAGTGAAAAGCAAGATGAGACAAAACGGCAGAAGCAAAGAACAGAGAGACCAGAGGATAAAAGGCTATGGGGGAAAATATAGGAAAAGATCATTTTTAATTATATGGATAAGAAAATTCCCAAGACGCTTTTATCGTGACATCTAAAGCCAAGACGTGAGTGAGCATTTATTTAGCGAAGCGTAATAATGAAAATGAACTGACTTCCCATACACTCACCTCTTTCTCTCCACATATATGACTGACAGTTGACCCGGAGGCGGGGCTAGAGGCGGGCCCGATGACAGAGACTACGCCTTTGGGTAAAATCTGACACACTGGAAGAAAAGAAAAAAAAAAGAAGAAGAAGAAAATAAATGAGAATTAGCTATGCGGGACTGTATTCTCCCCTGCATTCTGATGACGGAGTTGGCATACAGTAGGCGCAGTGCTGGGGGAGAAGTGTGGAGATTTTAAATTGTGGCATTTAAATTTGAGTTAAGCCTCTGATTCCATTGTAGCTCCACAATCTGTCTCATTATATGCTGATTTATTTAGAGATAAATACTCGGAGGACTACAGCGGGGCAGCCCACTGGTTGCCTACTGTTATTATTCACTTGTTTAGAACGTCAAGCTTTTTAATGATTTTTAGACCTTTATTATATGTGTGTTTGAACAACGCTGACAGACTGGTGTAACAAGAGCTGGAAGTAGCATTCAGACTTGAGAGCCAGTTTTCTGAATCGGGAAATAATATAACAATGCTTTATCACAGCACATAACTGCCATGATGGCTTTTAACTCAATCATATTTTTTTTTTCATTTAGCCAAGCTTCAGAGCGCAGCATGTATCAGTGGGAGCTCACTTGCTTAAAATCCACAAACTCAAATTCCCAGCAGATGCGTGAGTGATTAGGAGTGAGAGGAGAAAAGACAGGCTAGTCTCCCGCTCTCTATATACCTGACTAATTGAGCAGCCTGCTGTTTGTGTTGCTGATCAATAAAGCAGAGCTGATGTCGCATGAAGACTGACAAAGCAATGAGAACAAACTGCCCTTTCCTCTATTTCTAGTTTGAGATTATAATCAAATCATCTAGACAGACTGGGAATGGAATCAAATATTATTGCCTCACAGATTTTTTTTTTTCTTTAGTTCACACAGGATAAGAAAAATACAACATAAACAGGCATAGTCAAATTTTAGTCAATTTTCTCATTTAGTCAAGTTTTGGAAAAGAAACAAAACATACAAAAGTCACACAACCAAACCACAGTCATCTCCGTCAAAGTGTCTTCAATCTGAAAATCTGAAAGTTAAAGTACACTTTACTGTAGAGAAATGTATCTGCTGCATTTGACTCATGCTTTAATGCTGCTGGGCTAACCTGTCAGGAGCAGCAGGCACCATCTCCAGAACTTGAGCTAGGCCTGATCATAACCATAAACTATATATAAATGGGCATAGCTAATGGAAGTTATGAATGTGGGCGCTTCTGGCTCCAGTGACTCGACGAAACTTTACATTGAAAAATTGTCACCCCTCTCTCTCTGCTGCAGTGAGCCTCACAATGTTTGTCTTAAAATGTTCATATTAACACGCTCTCCTTAATCCAGGTGTTTTTATTTCACTATTTTGTCCGTGAATAAATTCCTAATATGAAACTCAGCTTCAAATTCGCTCTTACAACTTTTAGCCTCGTGAGTTTCATTTGACTGGAGCTGAATGCTGTGAGTGATGCCACACCCCCTTAGTCCCTTTTATGCAGTCTATGTCCAAGACGCCCTAAGACGGAGGATTTTGGTGCATCTTGTGGGGCATGTTTTGGATTGGAAGATATTATTAGAACTAATAATGAAAACTACTCATCCTCTTGAGCCACTGCAAACTGCAATCCCCATTAATTGTTACTATGGAATGCTAACTTAGAAAGTGGTACAATTTTAGGCATAGTACATGCATTACAAAACATCAATAGACAGAAGTAAAGCAAAAGTATCAAGTACTTGTTGCTATTCCTGTGATGAAAGAGAAGGACCAGGAAAGCATATTCATCATCTGCTTTTGTTAAAACTCTAGGCTGCCATTTTTAACATGCAATTTTAAGTGGTGTGTTTTTTCACCACTATCTACTAGCACAGTTCATTTAATTAATCATTTTCTCAGTGGCTTCCCAATCACAGCAGATCCGCGTTGCACTTATTTTGATAGTCATTAAGCTCCACTCCTTTTGGTATATTTGGTTCGGTCTTTTAATTCATCCCAATTAGTCTTCTTCAGTCCGCGCCACTTGTTTCCCTGCGCCCCGCGTGTGATGGAGTGTTCGCGTCTGTGGAAGGAAATCTGCTGTGTGCGTTAGATTTGTGTGTGGGAACCAGTGATTAAGTGTGTGCCCAAGCAAGAGGACTGGAGAGGGATGAAGAGAGGGGGCCGGGCTTAGGGTATATGTGTGTGCAAAGATGATGAGCGTTTTCCATTCAAAAAGACCCCAAGAGCGAATATTCTGTCAGAGTGTCCTGCCCAATGGTCAAGGACACGCACAACCCTAACCTTGGAAAAAAACACACAGACATTTTGCCATAGCTTGTAGCAGGGTCCGTGACCTATTAGAACAAGACTAGTACGGCTCTGTCTTCTCTCTGACACTGCTTTTTTAGTCTTTTCATAAAATAACAACTGCAAAGTGCAGCAATAAATTTTTAATAGGGTGTCTGGCCCGTGAAAGTTGTAACAAAAATTACAATCAGAAAAAACAATTCAATATTAGAACTAGGTGCTCATTTGAACAAGAAATGATAATGGTTTGAACTGTACAACTGAATAATATTAGTATTTGATGCGTTGCCCTCACACACTAATCACTTACCAGTCACTTATCAGTGGTGAGGTCATACTTACTTAAAATTTGCCCTTGGTAACTTCTCAGCATTTTCAAACCCTTTTCAAACATTTAAATATAGAAAATACAATCTCACAAAACATAATAGTATTTTTTTGGTCTTCACAATACCCATACTTGTCCTATAACAATACTATTTTAATAGGTTGGCCTCAGTGGCACCAGCCCTGTTTGAGCTGGCCTGTGTTGCTGAACTGTATTAGTATTTGATGATTTGCTGTTGTCATGGTTTGCCCGCCACACTTTGCCAGCTGTTACTGCAGGGCACTGTTCCACGCTTTTTTAATGAGACAAGCAGAGAGGGCCATTAATGGTCTCCAATGACGTGTAACCTAATCAGTGCAAGCACTTACTGGTTCCCAGTCACACCAAACATGCTGGTGTGCTTTTATTCGACTAATTACTGGAAGCTTTAACTAATAGTTCAGCAGCATCATATACAAAAGAAGTCATTCTGTGCCCTTTTATCAATAAACAATATAAGTGTGGATGCTAAAGAGGTTGTGTTTTGTTTGCATTTCACATACTTAATATTACAGAAACTCATGAACTACAAAGATAGGGCACCATGACTGCAATCACATTGGCTTGTGACTGTACATTAAGCCCTTAAAAACAACACCTTTGTTCTGGGCATATGTTTTACAAGGTATTTTAGATTTTTGAGTCAATCTAGGGGGCAAAGATTTTATTTAAAATACATTTTTGTAACAAATCAAGAAGAAATCATCAGTCATGAGTGGTTTTGGCATTGCACCTGGATCCAGTCACTTTTTCATCATACTTCACCCTTTAAAGACTGGGTGTAATACCATGAATAAGTCCTGCACTCTCCAAGCAGAAGCCTTTCAAAGAATAACATCTAAATTTGTTACTTTCACCCTGTAAGCACTTTCTAAGAATTTAACCGAGTGAAACCTTATCAAATCTACTTTAGAGCCACGATTTTACAATAAATAAAGTTTTGATGTGATAGAGCTAAAGCAATGACTAGTAAAATCAATATGAATACCACAATCCTGACCACAAATATTGTATTGAACTACAACTACTATAAAAGAAGAATAAAATATTTATTTCTGGAAGCCTTGTGGGGAGAAACAGTTATCAACAATTATAGTTCTCAATATGTAACAACATGGACTGTATTAGATTAACTTGTATTTTTGTCCTGATTTTTGTTTTCAGACCCTTCCAGGCCAGCACACCATCATCTTGTGCGTGAGCTGTGTGGTGCACTCACTAGTGTCAGTGGTGTCATACTGAGAGTCTCTCTGCAGCTCGTAGATGTCCACCTCCACTTGGGCTCGAGTGGGACCCTCCATCACACTGTTGATGTTCTCCCGGGCCAAAGCCAGCGCCAGCCGCTCCCCTCGCCCACACACCGACTGGTCATCCAGGATCGCTGCTGCACATCGAAACAAACAAACAAGAAAAGAACAGGCAGGAGGAAGCAGGAAGTGAGTGCACAGGGAGCTATACAGTTGCTACTGAGTGGAGGTGCTTTTTGCAGTAATTAAATAGATTTGGTTGTTGATATCTGGACTTTGATATTTTAAATGAAACTGAAAACATACATACAACATATGTTTGTATGTATGTAGGCAATATTCTGGAATACCCCAAATAACCTTAACATTATGTATATTAGATTTATTGCAGCCACTCTATTTTTGATGTTTGAGTCATGGCACTGACAAATGTACCAGAGGATATTTTTGACACTCAAGACGATTTAGATGGAGTAAAATAACAGTAAAACATGATATTTGGCAATGTCACTTCACAAGGGGAGTGCATTTGATTTTCAGTGCAACTTGAGACAAATTTGTCCAAAATGATTAAATGAATGATTGAATAGTGCCTGGGTTATCATTTCATGATTATGATATATTCATACCTGATGTTACTTTCACTTCTTATTTGTCAGTTTTATCCAGTAGGTGTTTTTTGTTGTGTGTTTTGGTCCAGATAGCATGAGAGCCCAGCGGAGTATGGTGAAGTGCACAGTGTGTTGAACACTTACCCATGCGGACAGAAGAGAGGAGAGGGGCTTGACTGAGGGAGCGCGGCGCCATGGTGACTAGCAGAAAGGACAGGAAGTGTGTTGACAGCAGCAGTGCTGGCAGAGCCGGCATCTTCTACTGCTCCTCATGGAGAATGTTCTGCTGGCTGCCTGTACCACCACCTAAAAAGAACAGAAATACTCATTATGACTGTCTCAGGCACATACATGACATGCAGATGTTAGAGGAGGAAATAGCTCTTCAGGAATGTAATACAATACTGATGCCACCACAGAAGAATATATTTTAAATATATTTATGATATATGTTATTTATGTTATAGATTTTAGTAGATTTTAACATTAATCGACTGTAAATATGTTACACGCTTCTTTTTTACCAGGGAAAAAGAGTCACATGATGTTCAATACCTGAGTTGATCTAAATACTGAATTAATCGACATTTGAGAAAACAATACTTATCAACAGTACAAAAGTACATTCTGTACGAATTTAGAAAAATGAAGCCCCTTGTAAATGTTGTCCACTCTCTCCAGCTGAGAGTGGACTTTACATTTGTAGTAATTTGACAGGCCTGAGGGTAAACATTCATACAGAGCTGTGATATTTACCCTTCACACTGGGCCATGCATATGGCTTTCTCATAATAAAACACACACTGTGCACCGCTCAGGTCTCCTGTGTACCAGTCTGCCATTTACAAGTGACAGCACTCAGCCTTTAGCGGCTCTACTGAGGCAGTTCAAAGACGAGCATCTCAACAACTGACACACATACAGGCCCGCACTACTGTACTCACATCAGTGGAGCAGCAAGCACACACCAAAACCACCACCAATGCTTTTCTATCAGACAGTATTTTACAGAGCCACCAAGGGGGGCTTTCAATGTACGCACCTCCACCTCCAAACATAGACCGCGAGCTGGCTCCAGAGGCACCATGAACTAAAAGTGACAAAGACTGACAAGATGACAAGGCGGTAGAGAGGGAGATGAAGGACGGACAAGGTGAGAACAGAGGAGCGCTGGGTGATGAGCAGACAGGATGGTGGCCAGGCGCTGGGGGGCGGAGTCTGAAAGGCTGCTCAAAAAGGGGAGCTGGGGGTGAGGGTGCTGACCAGGGAACATTTCAATCTCCCCAGACTGAAACGGAACAGGTTTGACAGTTAAAAAAAAGCTGGTTCATGACCTTTCATTGACCCATGGAGATGGACAGATACACTTTGACCCCAGACAAGTGCTTAGGGAGTAGATTGGAGAGGACAATATAACATGCTATATGTACATGAAAGAGTATTTTATGGTGTTTTAGAGAGTCATTTTTAGTGGAAGTTTGTAATTCTTCATTATCTGTCAGGGAACATCTTGTTGGGCAACAGTAGTGTTCCAAAAAGAAAAAAAATCTCTTATCTATTGTGTTGCATTTCCAATGAGTAATGTCTTTCTTTTACTCTTGATATGACATCACTATGAACTAGATCCAGTATTTGTCTGTCTTTTTTATTGCTATGTATTTTTATTTATTTATTTTTTGTCTTTATGATGTCAATTATGTATCTAAATGCCCCATAAAAGACAATGTCTTCAGGAAGAATAGCTCTGGTTCCACAGCTAATGGAGATGAAAATAAATACAAATACAAATACAAATACAAATACAAATACAAATACAATACAAATACAAATACAAAATTGCAGATTGGAAATGAAGTTATGTGGCAACTGTTGTCAACACACTAAAGTATTGGTATTCCCAGTGGAAATCCATCCCAGTATTAACCAAGCCTAACCCTGCTTAGCTTCCAGGATCAGACAAGAGCAGACATTCTCAAGGTAATGCAGTTGCTTTACTTATTACTTTATGGGTAACTGCATGGCATTTTACAAGAGAAAAAACTTTTCACAGCCTAGATAGGACAGGTGCTTAAAGAGGGGGTAATACACTGATATTGATAACACATTATATATTTAGATCATAATGTTACCTTTTACTGTTTTGAAAATGCTGTTCACCGAAAACAACGTATTAACATTTTTGTATATTGTTATTATATATTGTTTTGTATCCTGCTTTTAAATATTTATCATAAGGATGGTTTAAATAGGGCCGGAATATGTTACTCAAACATGTATGGACTGCATCTAAAATCTCTTCAGGTATGCTTTTGATGAGGGAATGTTATAACATAGTAGAAAACTCCAAAAAGTCAATTTTGCATAATACCCCCCTTTAAGAGCAGGCGCACGCTCAGCTAGCTTTAAAAGGAGGAAATGCCTCACTCACACTCTTACTTTCATCACCAAGGGCCAGGCAGATGGCTGTACACAGACGAGAAGCCCTCTTAAATAAGGTGTAGCTAGCAATGCAACAGGATGCTCTAATAAAGGCACATACACACGGAAATGCAGTGAATACAAATTGTGGCATATCAAATACAAATTTAAAATGGACTTAGAAGAAAGTACTGACAACTCACCAAAATATATAAATTTCAACCCAGACAAAAGAGACACAGGTACAGTGACATGACATTACAAATATGACTGTTACACATTTTTAAGCATGATATATTGCTACAGAGAAATGTTATAAGCAATAATATTGAAACTACTTCAAGCCACTGAAACAAAGCAAGACAACCCCAGTAAACTTATTGTTAAATATATTGCATCATTAACAGAGTGAACTGCAACTAATGAATAGTGGAAGAAACTGATAATTACCCATAGAAGTTATTTATTCTGCCCTCTACAGCTCAAATCTTATGTTACTACATAAAACTGGCAAATGGCACCTCCCCAACTTTTGCAAAGAAATTGTACACACTATAAATATCGATTCACAAAATATATTATTCCAGCTTTCATATATTGAACAATAAGATGATATAGTAATTATTATGACAGGCCTAATTACAAACAGATTTTATATGTTTCTCTTTGTTTATAAAATCTGTCATAATCCTCTAGAGGGGAGGATGGATTTTATTCAGTTCAATATATGGAGAAAAAAAATACACATAACGTATAGTTCATCTGTATGTTTAAGCCAATATTACTAATCATACTACTAAGTATGATTAGTTTTACCAGTTTTTTTGTTCAGATTATTTTTACACTAAGGTGGCCAACCTATAGTCTCCTCTATTACATACACGGGATACATTGTACCAAACTATATATTATTCAATCAATCAATCAGTCAATAACTTTATTAATTCCAAAGGGCAATTTAGTTCCCAGATCTCTTATTGTGCATAAACCAAAAATAAAATCATGCACATACAACACACACCATGCATTCAAACATCAGTGCATCAGGGGACACATTGGAAAATTTACTTTCCATTTAGAAGTTTTATAGCAGAAGGAATATCCCAACAATTATTTACAGATCTTAGAAATAGGCATACACAGATAAACAACCATTCACTTAAATATTCATAACCAGAACCAGTTCACAACCTTCTGTTAATTAAGGTATAATAACAATAACCAAAATACTCTGATATAGTATTGTCAAAACTCTCACAATAATAATGTGGCCTGTCACAATATAACAAATTATAACATAATGATCCTTTGCTTCATGTCAATGCAGACTATGATACAATAGCTGTTATTAAGTACTTCTTTGGATTTTGACAGTATGATTCACAAAGAAGTCTGTGAAAAATATCATATTCACATTTCGGTTAGTTTTCCACAATATTGCAATAAATATCGTACCGTGAGATGCATATCGTCATAATATCGTACCATGATACTGTTACATACTGTTACCGCAGGCTGCTTTAGAAACTGGAGGATAACATTTGACCCCAGACAAGAGCTCTGGGAGTGCACTGAACAAGGCATATATATACTAGTGTAGTGTGTGTGCTGTTTCGTTTACTTGTATGTACACATCAAAGAAAGATGCCCACGAGACGCCGCTGCCAGTCACAGAGCGGCACTGCTTTTTTTCCCATTTTGTTTCTCCTCGCTCCAACCTTTCCGGCGCCTTTTTGTCTTTGATGCTGTGGCACGTACGATCCTGCGCTTTGAACCTCTCGCCGCAACTGACAAATCCAACTTTCTCCACCCTTTTCTACTCCTCCTCACTCCTTGCAATTACTGACCATCCTTTCTATCGCGTTCCTAGGTTGGCGATGTCGAAGGGTGGGCTAGCATATGAGCAGACATATTGGTAAGGCTAGCGGCGTGTACCATGCTGAGTACATGGTTAGTCTGTGCTCATTATTTGTATGGAGGCTCAAAGTAAACAGCTTTCTGTATATCAGAAAACCACTGGATAACAGGCGTGTTGTGGGTGCAGGTTTTATTTGCCATGTTGTTCAGTACATTAACAGAGAGTGCGAAAGAGAGATAATGGGAGTAGTTAAAGCATGATTATTCTGGACACATGGAGAGACCAGCCAACTGTCAAGATAAGACTGTAGTCAATACACAGATCAAGTATGTCAGAGAGTTCACAGTAAAGATCAGAGATAGACACAGATATCGATTGGCCAATATTTGCACTTTTTAGCGAATCGGTGAGCAGCCTTAAATCTCCAATTCATGCCAATATTTTGTTTTGGGCAACCTGCTGTCTGAAGAGTGCACACAAAGCTTTATTTGAACACTTATTACGTAAAATGGACTCTTGTGAACTTTTAGCCATGTTAGAATATAGCTGCCTCATCAAAAACATACCACACATTCATTCACACTTCTGACTATCACTTTATTATGCTCTGTTCCAACTTGTGATGTCATGTAGTGGTAGTTTTCAAGTTAATAGCTAGCTTTTACCCTTTGTAAAATAGAGACGGGCAGTTTCAGTGTTGAGATTATCCAAATGATTCTAGTGAAGGTGTATGGAGTTTAAAAACACAGTGGAGCACCTCCTGTATTACCATGACATCACAAGGTGGAACAGAGTGTTTTAAGTCTGTGAGAACATGTGTGAATGAAACACAAGCCCAGGTATATTCTTGATGAGGAAACAATATTATAACATGGATCAGAAAATAGTGCAATATGGGCCCTTTATTGTAGATGTAGATGAGTTTGTTGCAAATTAAAATTATATAATTTGGTGAAAGTTGCCAAAATCAGCTATACATAAGCAGAGCTTATGGCCATCAGTTGCTCTGGATTCTCAACAATCGGTATCA